TTGTTTCAGAGTTAGAAGGCCCTTCTCTACACTAACATTATAAAAAACATTCTATCATGATTGATTTTGGTATTTTTATGGTTTTATTTTTTACATTTCTATTTTTGACCACAGTGAAATTTATCCTGGAGTGTGAGATATGAATTTAACTTAATTTTTCCTGGATGGTCATCTACTTTTGTCAACACCCTGTACCTAATAATCCATCTTTCCCCTTCATATTTGAAATGCCACCTTTAGGAGATATTAAATGCCTATATATACTTGGGACTATTTCTCTTCCATTGATGTGTCTATATATTCATATGCTAGTACCACACAGTTTCATCATTATAACTTTTTACTATACTTTAATATTTGTTAGAAAAAACACCTGGGAACGTGGGTTACTCTTTATTACTCTTCTTTTCTGAAACTTTCCTAGCTATTTTATTCTATTTAATAAATTTACTTATTTTATTTATTTTTGGCTGTGTTGGGTCTTCGTTGCTGTGCACAGGCTTTCTCTAGTTGCAGCGAGTGGGGGCTACTCTTTGTTGTAGTGTGCAGGCTTTTCATTGCAGTGGCTTCTCTTGTTGTGGAGCATGGGCTCTAGGTGCGCAGGCTTCAGTAGTTGCAGCACGCAGGCTCAGTAGTTGTGGCGCACGGGCTTTGTTGCTCTGTGGCATATGGGATCTTCCCAGACCAGGGGTCGAACCCATATCCCCTGCATTGGCAGGCAGATTCTCAACCACTGCGCCAGCAGGGAACCCTGTTTTTGTTTATTTTTATAATAAGTTTTCTAATCATTTGTCTAGTTTCCCCCCAAATTTAAATTATATAATATAAATATTTTAAAAATAATATTAAATATATAACTTTAGGGTAAATTGACATCTTTATGATATTGAGTTTTCTTATTCAAGAATTGGGTGTGAGTTTTCCAATTGTTCAAATCTTTGGTGTGCCTTGGGAGACTTTATAGATTTATATGGATTTTACACAATTGTTTTAAAATTTAAGCTGAAATGTTTTGTCTTTTTATTATCATTGGGGGTTTTCCAAATTCCTATTCCAGGAAAGGATCCTGCCACCCCTTTGGTGTCTCCTTTTACCTCTAGGATTAAATCTAAACTTCTTAGCTTTTCCTTCAAGGCTTTCCACATCCGATATAAAAGCTATTTTCCACATATTTTCTTCTTACCTGTAGCTAGTCAACAACCCCTGAACAAGCTCCATCCTTTTATGCATTCCATCTTGTGGCTCCTCTGCTTCCCCTTCTGCCTGTGCAAAGTGGTTTTCTTCACGAGCCCCGCCTTGAGTGTCCCAATTGGAAATGACCTCTCTCCTCTTTCACCCCTGACCATTTATTGTATGTGCCATTTATCTGGTAACTAATCCAATATTACCTTGCGACAGCCTTTGTATTATTAAATGAACTGCCCTTTATCTCTTGTGTGGTTGCAAAACTATTTGTGGGTCTGTGTCTCGTTTCCTTAACTAGATTGCGAGGCCCTTGGGGAGAGTGAGCCTGCCTCGTGCTCCCTGCAGCATCTGGGCCCTATAGGCAGTAACGATAGTAGCAGCAGTGATAACAGTGATAGTTAATGTTTACCTCAAGCTTTCTTTCTGTGTGCTGGCTACTGTTTTAAGCACTTTCCATGTATGAACTCATTAGTGGGTAAACACTTGAGTTTTGCTGGGTTTATCTGACCTTAAATTAAATCTTTGAAGGGGGGACATAAAAGAAAGGGCACTTGGTCACAATATCCAGACAGTGACTCTAGCTAGCTGGTCAGAGAGGAAGGGGGGTTTTGTAGGGAAGAAGGAGGCTGGCCACAGCCTAGGAAGGAAAGGGGAGAGGAACAGGCAGCAATGCAGAGGCCCCGAGCTTGATGGTTGCAGAGATGTGAGTATTTTCTGAGGTTCTGGTAGCTTTGATTCAGGCCGTGCTGGTGGACTTGCCGCTTCCCCTTCACTGGCAGGGTTAGGGCTCTGGAAATAAGGCCTGGCCCATGGCAGGGCCTTGCTGAGGCCTCTTTTCCACGGCGGTTCCCTGCAGGATGGCCCAGGTCTCCTGGGGACAGCAGGCCCAATGCTGAGCTGCCTCCGCGGCCTGTCCACACACTCCGGGCCTCCCGCCTCTCCTGCACTCAGAACGCTCCACTGAGTGCCTGCTGGGAATGGATGCACTGAGCAGTCAGGGCTATGAGCTGATGGAAATTAATCCCCACCCCTGGGCCTTCCTCTCCTCAGGACCATCATGAGTCCCGCAGAATCTTTCCCCTGTCTCAACACTGCAGACTGTTTTAGGGTACTGGGGTTCCTGGGCAATTGCACCCCAGCCTTCAAGTAAAATGCAGGCAGGAGGCCTCCTACCTGAGCTCTAAACCTGCAGCTCCAGCATTTTGGGGCCCAGGAAGCATTATTTGTGTGTTGAGAACTGGAGAGATCTAAGGGTGATTTACATCTGCACCGATGTGTGTGCCAGCCCGGCAGCCTAGAATTAACTTCCACGGCCCAGCTCTTCCTTACCCTTTGCTGAGCACAAATAAACAGGTCTCAGACCCACATAATGAACTCTTTAGATTCTTAAAGACAAGAAAAGAAGATGGGAAGAAAGGACTTTGACTTTTTGAGACACTTACCTCTAGAGGGGCAACAAATTCCAGCCCCTTAGACAAAGCTCCACCACCGGTTGGAAGGGTTAGCCTCTTACAGCACAGATCCGGTCTCTAGGGAGAGCGTCGTGGGACTGAGGCTGGCTCTGTTGAATCTAAACATGCTCCAGCATAAATGCAATTGCTTTCCGTCCAATACATCATCAGAACTTTAGTTACATTTTGCTGAAGCAGTCCTTGAAATCAGGGAAGTGGTCCAATAGAGTAAGGGGGCTTTTCCCCCTGAAACGTTGCCCAGAGGCCCAGAACAAACAAGTGGCATTTTAATTTTATATTTATTACGGATTTGTAGAGTCACTAGTAGTATTTTTGCTCTTCTTGGAAGTCTTATTTAGATGGCTTCCGTAGAATTCTTTTCATGTGACTCCAGCACTCATCATATTTATAACGGAGTTTGCGTCAAGGATGGGGGCGCCTTCGTGTCCTTGGCTGCCTCCCCCTCCACCCAGAGCCTGGCACCTAACAGCTGTACAGTGAACAATTGCTGAATGAATGAATAAGCGAATAAAGGGTCTGAGTTCCTAACACCAAAATAGCCATGAAGTAGGAAGGAATTTGATGCTGTGAGCCTCAGAAACTGCCAGGCTTATACCCTCGAGGCCATGCTGGCTGGGCTCCTCTTTTTGTTGTTATTAAGTCAGACATTTAATAATTTAAGAAGCCAGCCCTTCCACAGTTTGGGCTCAGCTGAGCAGACGTTTAGCCTGTTCCCACGGCACCTACAGTTTCCCCTGGCTGGACAGCTCGGAGTCTGCCCTGGCTGTGACCAACCTGAACACACTCTCCCCAGGGACCCTCCATGCCCCGCCCCCCCCAGGGACCAGGCCCATGACCACATGGCCTGGTCATCTCCTGCCTAGAATCCTCCGCAAGAGTGCCCAGAAGCAGGTTGCCACAGACTGTTCACTAAAGCAAACTTCTCTTCCTGTTTCTATCTTTTCTGCCCCTCTTCTCTCTCTCTTTCACCCTGTCCCCATTCTTTCTGCTATCCCAGCCTCTGTCCTCTCTCCAGCATCTTGATCAAGCTTCCCAGCCCTAACCATATAGGTACCAGCATTTATTTTACAGTACCCTGTATATATTTTAACAGAGGTGTTAAAAGGTAGCCCAGGCCTTCCCTGGTGGCGCAGTGGTTGAGAGTCCGCCTGCCGATGCAGGGGACACGGGTTCGTGCCCTGGTCCGGGAAGATCCCACATGCCGTGGAGCGGCTGGTCCGGTGAGCCATGGCCGCTGAGCCTGCGCGTCCGGAGCCTGTGCTCCGCAACGGGAGAGGCCACAGCAGTGAGAGGCCCGCGTACCAAAAAAAAAAAAAAGGTAGCCCACCCGAACTGGTACAGCCTGGGCTGGAAGCTTGGTTTGGGCTGAGCCTGATTTAGGCTGGGGGTGGCGTGTCAGCTTCCCGGGTCTGAAGATGGAAAATCCTGCCTGCCACTCTGCAGGAGCGAAGGAGAGCTTAGTGCCATGCACAGCCCCCAGCCCAAGCCCCCACTACCCTTCAGCCTACATGGATCACACATTCCACATGATCTCACTGTTTCCATGCGCATCTCTCTCCTCCACCTGCCAGCAGCTCCTTGAGGGCAGGCGGTTTGTTCTTTTATGTATCAGCAGGCCTGGCGTAGGAGCTGAATAAACCTCTGCATGGTAAGCTACAGTGCAGCTCTGGAGACCTACTGTGTGCCAGACTTCAGGCCTTGGGGATTCAGAAGTGAACAAGACAGAGAGATTTTGCTGGGCTCAAGGAGCCTGCAGTCTTGCAGGAAAGACAGACTTTCAACTAATCTGAATATGAGGAGAGAGAAATGAGAAATGCAGATGCAGGGGTCGGGGCACACAAGGAGAGACAGAACCTAGGCGAGAGGGCACAAAAGCTTCCCGGAGAAGCACTGTTTCCACTGACTCCTAAAGGATGACTAGGAGTTAGGTGAATGGGGTGAGGGCTGGAGGGTCCGAGAGAGAGCATTCTAGGCAGAGGGAATACTTGTTGGACGGGTGGACGGGTGAACCTGGCATTGAATTCTGAGCTCGCTGGCCCAGTGGTCTAGAGCATTCAGATGCGCACAGGGAAGCAGGTGACTGGACTAGGGGTGTCTTGATACCGTGGTGGTGGAAGTTACCTCTTCATTGCCCCAGTCATGGCACGTGGACCTGTGAAGCCAAAAGGCTACGCTCTAGTCAGAAATGCTCCTCAGAAGGGGATGGAATGGATACATTGACCTCCTCTGCCAGGGATGGGGCAACTCTGGGGTTAAGGTGAAAAACCCTTCAGCCCCATGTCACATTGCAAATGGACCCTGCCAACCTCAGGCACCTCACCCAAGGCTCTTCTCCCCACCCAGATGAGCGGGAAGTTGTCCAGAAGAAAACCTTCACAAAATGGGTGAACTCGCACCTGGCACGCGTGTCCTGCCGCATCACTGACCTCTACAAGGACCTGCGGGATGGGAGGATGCTTATCAGGCTGTTGGAAGTGCTCTCTGGAGAGATGCTGGTAAAGCCCCTTTCCCCAGGCCCAGTGGCTGGTGCTCTGTCCCCTCTTCAGGACAGACATTGCCTGGGGGCCTCTCCAGTTCTCAAGGCCTTCCAAGGTTTCTCCCTATTCTTTTGGGAGGTTTCAGTACTAATGATGTGAGGTGTCCGTGTGGCTGACTGGGTTCTCTGAACGTGTTCATCTAAATATGTCCCAGCATAAATGCCTGGCTTTCCATCTAATATATCATCAAAACATTTGTTAATTTTGCTGAAGCATTTCAGAATTTCTTGCCTCCTTCTGGCCACTGCCACCTCTTCATGCTCCTCCCAGAAGCCATGCAGAGGTCTTGACTGTCTCCTCTTGGCACCTGGTTATCTGTGACTGGCCTGCAGTGGGCCCACCCTCAGCCTCCTTGCGCAGGCTAAGACATATCCCATTACCCAGCTGGAAAAATTTGCCTCCTTCTTGGAACGAGGAGGAAAGTGTGAAAGATATTTTCCTGTGTATCCATCACTCTAACAAGTGGAAGTTCATCACAGGCCCTCTTAGTTGTAACCCACCCGGTGGTAACGTTGCCCCTGCAGGAGAACCAGATCAAGGCTCATGTTTTGCTCAGTTACTTCCATTATGACCTTGGGCCTATGAGGCAGGACCTTCTTTGCCTCATTTCCCCCATGTGTAAACCGATACCTGTACCTGATGTAGTAGCCTAAGACCTCAGGGTTTGAATGAAAGGTACCACATTCATCAGTTGCCTTTTCAACTCCAGGCTGAAGTTAAAGAATGCCTCTTACCCCACTAGAGAGAGTTACCACTAAGAAACCTTCAGATGATGCAGTTACTCATCAATGGTGTCCCCTTGAGCTTTGACTGAGGCCGTTTCGGGGTGGGGAGGGAGGAGGTTGGATGGCAGAATGGACCCCATTATCAGTCAGCACACTAAAAGCCACTCTTATCACCAACCAGCAGTAAACAGTTCCTAGAACTGTGCCTAGCACATAGTAAGTGCTCAACGAACTACCTGTTGTGTTACTATATTTGAATGCCACTTATCACCCACTCAGAAGCCTTTGTTTAGACCCAGGAACAGTACTGATGCAGCCCACTTGCAGAGCTCTGGGTGCTCAAGAGAGGGAGCCTCTGAACTTTGCTGAAAGGATGGGGTTGAAAAGTGTCAAGGAGTGAGCATGGGAGTTGGAGTTTGGCATGGAGGGTGGATGCTGATGACTGGAGCTGGTCCAGGCGTGACCATGAGGTTCTTCCATGCCCACGGGGCAATGCTGTCCCTCAGCCAAAGCCCACGAAGGGGAAGATGCGCATCCACTGCCTGGAGAATGTGGACAAGGCCCTGCAGTTCCTGAAGGAGCAGCGTGTGCACCTGGAGAACATGGGCTCCCACGACATCGTGGATGGCAACCACCGCCTGGTCCTGGGCCTCATCTGGACCATCATCCTCCGCTTCCAGGTGGGTTCCCGGGGGCCAGAGGGGGTGGAGGGAGCTTCCCTGGGCCAGGCTGGGTTTGGGAATCTTAGAAAATGGTGAATAAGTGCGAGTGTTTGCACGTTCTGGGAGGCTAGAAGCCCGTCCTGTGGGACGATGCTTATAGGAAGGAGAAACCATCCTGTGCATCGCCAAGTTGCGGAAGCTCAGGATGAGCTGTTCAGTCAATAGCGTAGTCTTTTGAGAGAGAGGATAGAAATTAGTAGCTGGGCTGAGATCTGGCTGGAAGACCTACTTTCGTCCCCTTCCCCCCACGTGTGTCACTTTTTGGTTTTTTAAATAGTTTGATTCAGAAATTGCAAGAGTGCAGAAGATCTGCTTTTATGTTTTTCACTCAGAAGCTTTTCTCTTCCCACCCTGAAATTCAAGGTCGCTTATTTGTAAGGAATTTAGAAAGCACGAGGGGAGGAAAGCAGAGCCTTCCACCTGCTGGTCTGGGGACAGAAAGAACCTAGCTGGAGGAGGGAAGGGCAGGGAGAAGGAAGATAACACACAACTCCCGGCCTGAAGATCTCACCCAAGTGGTCTTGGGTGTCCAATCTCACTCTCTGAGGGTGTGTACGATGAAACGGTAATAATAGCAGAATTGGGGAGGATGAAAAGGCAAGAGGAGCTGCTATCATCAAAATACAGTACCTTGCAACATTCATGCCGTTCCATGGCCCAGGTGGCATCGTACCTCCTGAGGAGGAATGAGGGCATCCTGCTGTTTATTCTTGGCCTCCCCTTAGAGTTTCAAGTTGGAGCGTCTCCTCTGACGTGGAGAAGCTGACCAAGGCAGGGAAACAGGCCTCCAGGACCCAGGGCTTCAGGCTGCGGGGCAGCTGCGGGGCTGGCGACCGGATGGACGGCTACAGAGGAGGAAGGACGGAGGAGGCCTTCCAGGGAGAGCAGGGAGGCGCTGGGTCAGATGCAAATCTAAGTCTTCCCTCTCTTGTTCCTGTGCCCACAGATTCAGGACATCGTTGTCCAAACTCAGGAAGGTCGTGAGACACGCTCAGCTAAGGACGCATTGCTGTTATGGTGTCAGATGAAGACGGCAGGGTATGCCCTGGGGACCAGCCACTACCACGTTCCTCACCACCCCCCGTGCCTCCCAAGCATTGCCGTCCCCAGGGGACATAGACGCCATCACCCAGAACTACATCCGTTTGGATGTAGTTGATGCCCAGTCTATCCTGACCTGATTCTTACAGGCCCTGAATACAGGATTCTATCCCCAGATTGCCTGGGTCAGACCGTGGGGTCTGTTGGGGGCGAGAGTCTCCTGGGCCCACCTGCTGAGGGGGCCTCTTTGCGTGACTTAACGGCTGCCTTCTTGTTGAAGGGGCTCAGGAAGGGTCCGGCCCACTCCTCTCCTGAGGTGTTGGCCCTGGGTTCACACACCTGTAGGGACCCCAGAAGAATCTGTTTCTGAGCTCTGAATGCTTTTCTTGGACGCAGCTACCCCCATGTCAATGTCACCAACTTCACCTCCAGCTGGAAGGATGGCCTAGCCTTCAACGCCCTGATCCACAAGCACCGGTAAGAGGGGGAGCGGAGCGGGAGCCCCTGTGGGAGCCAGGGAGCCCTGGGGGGATGGGACACCTTGCACTTAACATGTAGGCGTCACAGGAGTGGTACAGCCGCGGCGCCTTCTCCTCTCACCCTCGGCATCCTGCCTCCCTTAAATCCCCCTTCCTCACACAGCTCCCTCCTCTGTCCCGTCTCCTCCTCTCACTTCTCCGGCTCAGCCACCCGCCTGCGTCTGCCCAGGGGCTTTGCCCTTTTGGTGGGGATGCCATGCCCCCTGCCCTCTGACAGTCTGGCTTCGTCCCCAGGCCCGACCTGATTGACTTTGACAAGCTGAAGGACTCCAACGCCCGGCACAACCTGGAGCACGCGTTCGACGTGGCTGAGCGACAGCTGGGCATCATCCCGCTCCTCGACCCTGAAGGTGAGCCAGCGCCCACGAGACCGTCAGGGCGCCTGGAGGAGTGTGGGCCGTGCTGGGAGAGCCGTGGGCGTGGTGGCCGGGCCAGGGCTCCGCTCCGGCCTGCTCTTCAGACCCAAGCTGGTTCCTGACACCTCCCCTGCCTGATTGGGGGCCCACTGTAGTCTTTCCATCCTTTTCCCCTCTTTCATTCTTTGTGGTCCTAATATGGATTTCATCCTCTCACTAAAATCACAGGCGATTCCTGTTCCACTCTCGCCTGTCACTTGGTGCCTATAGTTGAACTTCGTGCTGGAGACACAGGGAGATGAACCCCCTGAGCTTGACATTTCCAACTTGCAATTGGTCCTGAGAGCCCACCCTTTCCCCTTGCAGATGTCTTCACAGAAAACCCTGACGAGAAATCCATCATCACCTACGTGGTGGCGTTTTACCACTACTTCTCCAAGATGAAGGTGCTGGCAGTGGAGGGCAAGCGCGTTGGCAAGGTACTGAGCTGCTGCGTAACCAGAGTGTCACCATTTCCCTGCTTGCCACGCACAGGCCTTGACTGAGATGCTCCCTTTCTACCCTAAGAGCTTTGTGTCTGGACCCCAGCTGTGGGAGAGCGTGCAGATCACCCCCCACCAACTTCCTCTGAAGCCAAGCATTACCAGGTTCATGGCTCCCAAGCTGAATTCCAACACAGGTTGATGGTCTGTCCCGAACAAGGTCATAGCCCTTAGCTCTGAGCCGACCTTCCACCTGCAGACCCATGTCTCGTGAGCATTCCCACAGGAACAAAACAGGCTCTTTACTTGTTAGTTTATCGTGATTTCAAGCCTCTTAGGCTCTGCAGCCGACTGTACAGGGGAGCCACCCCACTGTACGGACCCTCGTGCCGGAGTCCTTTCCCCGGCTGGGTCTTTTGCCCGTCCAGGGCAGGGACCGTTTCTCATTCATCTTCGTGCACTGGTGTTTAGCAAAGACAATGCCAGGAAGCCTTCGATCCCTAATACCCACTCTTAAATAAACAGGACCTTGGCCTCTCTGGCGGCTGGATTGGAAAGCACAGACAGCTTTCCAGTCTTTTACAGGGTTCGGGAGGGGGGAGCTGCTCCCGTCCCGAGCACAGCCAGGTCCCTCCTGACATTGCCGGCGCACTTCCAGTCCGGCCCCCTGCTCAGCAGTGGTCTTGGGCTCAGGGAACAAACCCAACGTAAACGCTCCAGGGCTCGCAAGGAGGAGGACCACCTCGATTATGGTCCCGGTCGGCATCCTCACGGGCGTCCTCGCCCTTCTGACGAGGATGAGTCACAAGGTGATTCCTTAGGTAATTGACCACGCCATTGAGACCGAGAAGATGATTGAAAAGTACAGCGGGCTGGCCTCAGACCTGCTCACCTGGATCGAGCAGACCATCACTGTCCTGAACAGCCGCAAGTTCGCCAACTCCCTGACTGGCGTCCAGCAGCAGCTGCAGGCCTTCAGTACCTACCGCACCGTGGAGAAGCCGCCCAAGTAAGGGCCTGGGCACTCGGGAGGGCGGGCATCACGGCCGAGAAACCACCTCCAGGAGGTTGGCGGGCCTGGAGAAGGAATCGGGAGGCGGCTCCTGGAGGTTAGAGAGCTGCCCATCTGTCACCTACTTCATCCCGTTTTGTCTCCCTGCTCCCAAGCCGTCTGCCTACAGGCAGTGGGCATTGAGTAACCCCTGGCTCATAGCCAAAGAAACACTTTCCCAGATCCCTGAAGGGGAGCAGCAGTGAAATCTCAGACTTCAGGGTATCTTTAAAGAATGTGCTGGAAAGTTCCTCTCTCTTCTGTGCACTGAGCTGCGGGTTTGTTCTTTGGTAATGACCTCTGCATCCACAGCCCCAGAGCTCTCCACGTGAGGCCTTGTTGATCATCAAGTACATCCTTCTTTCTCTCCCATCTGTCACTGCTCATCCATTAGCAGAGCACTCAGTCTGCCTCTCGGGACCTCTGCTTCACTCCAGCGTGTGCAGGGCCTACGTGCACCTATGCACGTGCAAACACAATTGTGCACACGCGTGCACGCGCACACCCACACAGACACGGGGCATTCCAGCTCGCCCGCCCTTAGCTTGGCCAGCTCCCCAGAAATAGATTTCTAGCTCATCGGTGGTAACCACCATCGGTGGTTCCTCCCCCGCTCATTCATTCATGACTGGCAAGCAGGGAGAGGCGAGACACGGAGTCTAGGATGTACTATAAACAAGTATCTGATTTCTGGCCTGACACTAACCCACTTTTAAAGTCCTAAATCCAATACAGATAACATGCCCCATGAGTCTACCAGGCACTGCACACAGGGGTAGCATCTCCTGGCTGCGTAGACAGTGCTCAAGGCCACAGCCCTCCTGCAGGGCCTGTGAGCAGGCAGATGAATTAGGCTGGCCTCAGGGTGGGGACCTTGCTTACCAGCTGATCTCTGACTACTGCGTGGTGGAGGTAGAAGTGGGTAAATACTTGGCTACGGGCAGAAATGGGAAAGTACCCAGTTACCTGGAGCTTGGACCCTGGGTTCCAGAAATCCATCCTGTTGCCAGTTCTCATCTCCTACACCTAACGTCCTCCCGGAGCCTAGCCTTTCCTCCCCTCTCAGAAGCATCTGGGCTTTTGCACTGTTGTTAGGAGAGCTGACTTTTTAGTACTCAGGTGAAAGTTGCTCTCGGTGCAGTATCTTCTTACGTGGACAGTGCTGCTTCCACGTAAGAACATACATGGTTTTATTGACTCACTCAGCAAAAAACTGAGTAAAGAGCTAGTCAAAAGCCTTCAACTGTTTGCAGAACAGGGAAGAGTTTCTTTGTATGGATTAGTAAAACTTGATACCTATAGGAATTACCAGAACAGTCCAGTTAGCCATTCCTCCGTGGAAGCAAATGACAAGCAAATGCTGCAGTAGTTGTTTTCTCTGGTTTATGTTGCAAAGACTCATCCCCTATTAGATCTCAGCTGGCGAGTATGATAGATTGATAGATCTTTTAACAGGTAAGTAAACCTATGTAGATCCTTTTTACTTTTTTAAGAGAAATGTGTTTTGCTATCCAAAATCCAAGATGCCAGGGTTCCATGTTCACTTAAAAAAGAACAACTGGCTGGGACTCCGCTGGTGGTCCAGTGGTTAAGACTCCACGTTTCCAATGCAGAGGACGCGGGTTTGATCCTTGGTCGGGGAACTAAGATCCCACATGCCGTATGGCTGACCAGAAAATTAGAAGAAAAAAAAAAAAACTGGCTGTGGGAATCTCGACACTCATCTCCCTACCTCTTTTTTCTTGACAGGTTTCAGGAGAAGGGGAATCTAGAAGTCCTACTTTTTACCCTCCAGTCACGGATGAGAGCCAACAATCAGAAAGTGTACACGCCCCATGATGGGAAACTCGTGTCCGACATCAACCGGGTACAGCAACGTTTTCCATTTCACGTTGCCAGTGTGTTGATTGAGTTCCTGATAAGGGCAGAGGGAATGGTCCCTGGACAGGGTTAAACCAAGCCACTTTCTGTGGTGTTATTAATGACACACCTGGCTATGGAGGGTGCTATCTGAGCTTAGCCCTGAGAGGTCAGACTCCACCCACCAAGCATCCCTTCAGCCCCCTGTTCAGGGGTGGAGGGAGGGGCAAGATAGGCGAAGGGGAGGTACTAGGTATAAAATAAATAAGATACAAGGATTTAATGCACAGCACAGGGAATATAGCCCATATTTTATAACAACTTTATATGGAGTATAATCTGTAAAAATATTGAATCACTGTTATACACCTGAAACTAATACAATATTGTAGGTCAACTATACTTCAATTTAAAAAATTAAAAAAGAAAAAGAGGCAGTAGCTGCACATTTCCAGCTCAAAGCTGCCGTAAGAATGGGGATGCAGCGGGTTTGCCAGTGGGCTCCTCATAAGGGCACATGTAATGGTCCCAGGACAGGGTTAAGCCAGGCCACTTCCTGTGGTGTTATTAACAACACACCTGGCTGTTGAGGGTGCTAAGTCTAGCCCTGAGAGGTCAGACTCTACCCACTGTCCACTGGTTCAGCCCCCTGTTCATATGCCCAGAGTCCATTTTTCAGAGCCAGTTTTATAGCCTATTCTCTATAGAACCTTGAGGTTTTTTGGAGAATATTGACTACATTTAACAGAAGGGAAATGCCTTATGACATTTCGGAGGTTTGGAGGCCTACCACCACCTGGAAGTTCCAGTGGAATGGAGGTAGCCATTTAGCCAACAGGAATTGACTGAGCGCCCACAGAGGCAAATAACACTGTACTAAACCATGAGTCTGAGGCAGATTTAGGAGAAGAGGGACCTGGGCGGTCATGACCAGCGCTCCCTGAATCTTTCCTCTGCCCAGACAGGAAAGCTGAAAGGCTGTCACTGAGCTTTAATCTAGGCTCTGCCTAGATTCCTAAAATCGCTCAGTGTTGGGTGAAAGAGTCGGGACCCCCAAATCCCAAGAGCTCTCCTCTGCCCCTCGTGCAGGCCTGGGAAAGCCTGGAGGAAGCTGAGTACCGGCGGGAGCTGGCTCTGAGGGAGGAGCTCATCCGGCAGGAGAAGCTAGAGCAGTTGGCCCGGCGCTTTGACCGAAAGGCTGCCATGAGAGAGACGTGGCTCAATGAAAACCAGCGGCTTGTGGCCCAGGTAAAGGGGGCCGCACTTGGGGTTGCAGGAGAGGGGGAGCTTTCCAGAGCCCCCAGTAGACAGCAGGGCTGGAGCCCACGCTGGTCGCTCGGTGGCGGCAGCAGGATAAGCCTCTCCACAGGTCTCGCGGCCCTGCTCCCTGTGACTGGGCGGATCGAGATTCACATCTGAAAAGGAACTCTCCCGATTGACAAAGCCTCATTTTTAGGAAAGAGCCAGACAACCCAAAAATGGCCCCAAAAGTTGTCTCACGTGAGCCAGTGGCGTCACCTAGAGCCAGAGTTCAGGCTGACATTTCAGTGGTCCTCCGGGGATGTGAGGAAAGCAGTGCACCTCGTGTGTGTCAGACATGCCCCTTGGACTCTGGCCTCTGGGGCTGTGTCACATTTCACTAGCTGAAAATTGACCCCGGGACTGATTCTCCATGAGAGCATCTGTTCCTTCCCACTTGGAGCTTGGAATCAAATTTCCCCTTTCATCCAGAAAGGGGAAAGCAAGCATTCTGAGAGAATTGGAGAGTGTGCATGTACCCCAGATAGCATGGGGGTAAACCATCTGTGTACAGCTGCATGGTTTCCTAGTGAGAAGCCCCTTCCTGCCCAGAATCAGGCAGGTCTGCACAAGGCAGGGTGGTGAATGCCAGCAGGTGGTGAAAGAGCTCTGTTAGTAATATTCACCCAGTGTTACCCACAAGGATGGCACAGTGAGTAAATCACAAGCTTCTTGTAAAGGTTCTTGTAAGACACTTAGTCTTTGGAACTTGGCTCTGATAAGATAGGCTGGAAAAGATGGCAGAAGTAACTCGTTGGGAAAGGGCTTTCCCGTCCAGCAGTTGTTCCGGAGGCAACCGCTGTTTCTCTGCGTTTGGGGACCAGCCAGGGGGAGCCTGATTGAGCTGCCTGTTTTCTTCCCTGGGGGACAGGATAATTTCGGGTACGACCTGGCAGCTGTGGAGGCTGCCAAGAAGAAGCATGAGGCCATTGAGACGGACACAGCTGCCTACGAGGAGCGGGTGAGGGCCCTGGAGGACCTGGCCCAGGAGCTGGAACGGGAGAATTACCACGACCAGAAGCGCATCACGGCCCGCAAGGACAACGTCCTGCGCCTGTGGAGCTACCTGCAGGAGCTGCTGCAGTCCCGGCGCCAGAGGCTTGAGAAGACGCTGGCCCTGCAGAAGCTCTTCCAGGATATGCTGCACAGCATCGACTGGATGGACGAGATCAAGGTGGGCTCAGGCACCCCCATCCCCCACCCCCGTGTCCGCCTGGGGCTTCAGCACCTGCCCTGCAATGGGAGCGTGCTTCCATAGGCACCTCCCAGCCCCACCTCCCTGAGTCAGAGTGGAGAATCCGAGGCAGCACAGCATCGGGCTGCATCCGCCTCTCAACGCCTTAGCTCACACTGCTCCAGCCCAGATCTTCTGTATTCCCCGTGATCAAGAAATCTGGGGTTCATAGTAGCGCAGGTGCCAACCTGCAGGGCCTAGAAGACGCAGACATCCATCAGGAGCCTGGAGAATCAGGCTCTGGGTAATCACGATTTGACTCTGGTGGGAACCCAGACCTCCCGGCACATAGCCACCAAGAAGTCTGTCTCCTCTCCCTCTACCGCAGTGGCTCTCAACTGAGGATGCACATCAGACTGACCACAGAGCTTTCTAAAAATACACATGCCCAGGCCCCAAGTCAGGGACACACATAGGAGACTGAGTATAGGGCTTGAGCTCCTGAAAGGTGCTCCCTGAATGATTTTTTTTTTTTTTTTTTTTTTTGCGGTACGCGTGCCTCTCACTGTTGTGGCCTCTCCTGTTGCGGAGCACAGGCTCCAGACATGCAGGCTCAGCGGCCATGGCTCACGGGACCAGCCGCTCCGCGGCATGTGGGATCCTCCCAGACCGGGGCACGAACCTGTGTCCCCTGCATCGGCAGGCAGACTCTCAACCATTGTGCCACCAGGGAAGCCCTCCCTGAATGATTTTAATGGGCATCCCCAGTGGGAACTCCTGCTCTGTAGCTTCTTTCCCGCTGAGCAGCAGCCGTTTTCCAGCTGCATCTGACTCATCCTGGCCCCAACACGCCACGGACGCTCCCTTCAGAGGGGTCTTCTCCTAGCGAGTGGGTTTCTTCACCTCTCCTCGCTCCCTCTACCTTATCTGTCCTCTTTGCCAGGCTCACCTCTTGTCTGCCGAGTTCGGGAAGCACTTGTTGGAGGTCGAGGACTTGCTCCAAAAACACAAGTTGATGGAGGCTGACATCGCCATCCAAGGGGACAAAGTGAATGCGATCATCACAGCCACTCTTCAGTTCACTGAGGAGCCAGGTGAGGCCACAGGTGTTTTCCTGTTGAGGCCTCTGGCTCAGCACTCCAGCACCCCAGCTTGGATAAATCTAGTTGTACAATTCTGCCTCTTTCATCAACTAATGGTGCAAGAAAGAAGTTTGAGGGATAGCAAAATTCTTCAGAGGACAGGCAACTGCTTTGGCCATCTGTAATCAGAAGGATTTATAAGAACCAAGAAGGCATGCTCCGTCTTTCATTCTCTCTGCTAGTTCAAGTTATGGCAGAGACAATTTAGGTTTACAGCTTCTGGTCTCAGATAGGTGACCCCCACTGCCTCTTTGAAGAATCATCTTGAAATTTGTGCCTGGTTCTTCTTAAAAATAATTTTACATTGTGCATTTCTAGTGAGAGTTGACCCAACTTTTAACCTCTCTTATTCCTGAATTTTTTGTGGGAATTCATTAAAAAGAACTAATTAAAAGCCTGTCCTCTAAGCAACTGGGAACTGGGACCCCCTGCGTCCAATCCCAAAGCCCCAGTGAGATGGCAGGTTCTAGACAACATGGTTCTAGCCTGGCACCTGATCTGAAGGTTGCCCTTCAGATGAAGCCCTTACCCTTTTTGTCCTCCCTCCTCCCATTCCTCCCAGGGTACCAGCCTTGCGACCCCCGGGTCATCCAGGACCGTGTCAGCCACCTGGAGCAGTGCTTCGAGGAGCTGAGCAACACGGCAGCCGGACGCAAGGCCCAGCTGGAGCAGTCCAAGCGGCTCTGGAAGTTCTTCTGGGAGATGGATGAGACCGAGAGCTGGATCAAAGAGAAGGAGCAGATTTACTCCTCCCTGGACTATGGCAAGGACCTGACCAGTGTGCTCATCCTGCAGCGCAAGCACAAGGCCTTCGAGGATGAGCTGCGCGGGCTGGACGCCCACCTGGACCAGACCTTCCAGGAGGCTGAGGGCATGGTTGCACGCAAGGAGTTTGGGCACCCGCAGATCGAGGCCCGGATCAAGGAGGTGTCTGCCCAGTGGAACCAGCTGAAGGAGCTGGCTGCCTTCCGCAAGAAGAACCTCCAGGACGCTGAGAACTTCTTTCAGTTCCAGGGCGATGCGGACGATCTGAAGGCCTGGCTGCAAGATGCCCACCGGCTGCTCTCGGGAGATGTGGGGCAGGATGAAGGGGCCACACAGGCCCTGGGCAAGAAGCACAAGGACTTTATGGAGGAGCTAGAGGAGAACCGCGGGGTGATGGAGCATCTGGAAAAGCAGGCCAAGGGGTTCCCCCAAGAGTTTCGGGATTCCCCAGATGTGACCAACCGGCTGCAGGCCCTCCGGGATCTCTACGTGCAGGTGGTGGCCCAAGCGGACATGCGTCGGCAGAGGCTGCAGGATGCCCTGGACCTGTACACGGTGTTTGGGGAGACGGATGCCTGTGAACTGTGGATGGGCGAGAAGGGGAAGTGGCTGGCCCAGATGGACATCCCAGACACGCTGGAGGACCTGGAGGTCGTGCAGCACAGGTCAGGGCCGGCCCTTCCCTCTCGCCTCCCCCTACGCGGTCTGTGCTCCTAGTGCTGGAACAGCCTCCAGATCCACAAGGGTCTCTGAGAGGCCATAGGATGCCCTTGATCACAGAGGCCAGGCACTGAGAGTCACGAGTTCTAATCTGGCTCTGTGGCGCTTGGTACGTCACCCCCTGGGACCTTCCTCAAAATAAGACAAAGGGGCTCTTTCTGGTCCAGGTGTTTGATGACTTTTCAGCTACAGCAGCCTTTGTTCAACTGAATGGTAGATGGAACCCCTGACATATAACACAGTGGAAAGTGGAGTGCTTGTGGTGAAGGGGGCGCGAGAGGCTGGATCCCACAAGCTCTAGCTTTCTTTGGCAGTCCCTAAACCACAGAACCCCGAGGGGCCACAGAGACCAGTTTGTAAATCACCAGTCTGCAAGGCCACTCTCATTTCCATTATTCCGATTCCATCAACACTCTGGCATGGGAGGGCGTGCCCCCAGTCTGTGCGGCGTCCCATCATCCTGAGTACAGGATCCAAGGAGTTGAGGAAAAGAAGTCACTCCTCGATCATGCCAAGGTGGTCCCACGCTGATGCTGGAGGGACCTGGGCTCTTACCTCAGAAGAGTCAGCTTTCATAACCACACGGTGCCCCTCCCCTCAGCAGCTCTGCCTTCTCCTACCAGGGATGGAGCACGTGGCTGGGGAGGTATCCTTCAGGTCCAGGTGTCAAGGCAGTGGAATTAGGGTCCATGAGCAGCAGCTGGGGCAGTGGAGGCATGGCAGGTAGTCTCTGTGGCGATTAACACCTCCTACACCTCATTTTCCCATAAACCTCTCTGTTTAGCCAATTGTCTTATAAGTAACCAGTTTTCTCCCAGCCTGACCCAGGAAATGCTAAACCATGAAACTGGACCCATGAACCAGAAAATAGGGTGTGTCAGCACACCTTTCTCCCCTCTTACCTGGTCAATGTATTTAGGAGGTGGAAGGAGAAAGCAAGAGCTACACGTTCTGGAGACTGGCCGCTGCTGCCTTCCCAATCCTCCTTTTCTCTGTCCACATCAGGTTTGATATACTGGACCAGGAGATGAAGACTTTGATGGCTCAGATTGATGGCGTGAACCTTGCTGCCAACAGCCTGCTAGAGAGCAGCCACCCACGCAGTGGGGAAGTGAAGAAGTGCCAGGACCACCTGAATACCAGGTGGGCTGTGGGTAGGGCTTGGGGCTAAGGGCTTCTTCTCCGGACACCTGACAGAGCCTTGGGGATGTGGCCCAGAGCCTTGGGGGTGTGGCCCAGGACCACCTGAATACCAGGTGGGGTGTGGGTAGGGCTTGGGGCTAAGGGCTCTCCCGACACCTGACAGAGCCTTGGGGGTGTGGCCCAGTAGTCAGGATGCCTGCTATGCACTGCCAGGTTTGTACCCTGAGCTCTTGCCTCACTCAGCCAGAGTCTCCTTCTGACACTGGAGCTTTAGCAGTAAGGAGGAGAGACCTGTGTGGCGACCAGCCCAGGGAGGGAGAGAGACATGTTCACAGAGCTGCGAACGCTGTGCCTGGGGCAGGCATGTGCTGAGTGATGGAGAGAATGTCCTGAGTGCATCCAGAGTGAGAATCAGGCCACGTGGTACTCATGTCGCATTTCCCTGGACGTTCTTAGGCAGGGAAGATTGCTTTCTGAGAGCTCTGAAGTACTGTCCATTAAAAAAAGCTCCTGCTGGCACCAAAATGTAGCATTGGTAATGAGACTGGCTCGAATGAAGAGGAGAATTAGCAGCAAGCCTTGAGCACGCTTCGTGGCCAGAACAAAAAACAGGCCCTAAGGAGCCTTTGGAGAGGGGCTGCTTTCAGTACAGGGTGCAATGGCCACGAGTTCCCTGAGGACCTCTGAGGACAGAGCATGCGCCTGTGTCCTGTTTGTTCCCCTGGGTCCTACACGCACAATGGGATGTGTTCGCCATCCCCACTACCCCGGTCCCTCTCCCCACACTTGTGCCTGAGCCCTGCTCTGCCCGAGGCAACCTGGGAGGTGGGGTTAGGGAAGACTCAGCTGTAAAGCAAAGGAGCAGCACAGTCGGGGCTTAAGAGGAGGCAGGGGGTGACTTTGGAGCCACTATCATCTGAGCGTCCAAAGAAAGGGACTGTAGTTCAGGAGGGTCCTCTGTCATCTGAGGTTTATGCAGGAGAGGAGCGTGCCTCCTTGTTCTTCTTTTAGGTTTGGAGGTAACGGGATGCATGTGCCTGCATGTATGTGTGTGCGTGTGCACGACACACAGGAAGAGCTTGTCAGCTGCTTTGATGAGTTATGCTCAGAGAATGATCTTACAGACCTCTAAGCCATACACCATCCTAAGTGTAATACACCAAGATACTTATCCTCAGGTGAGAGAGAACCTGAGGTGTGAAAAGGTAAAATGGTTTTCCATGACATCTGAGTGTTGAAAGGTACCTGAGCCATGTACCCCAGACAGCCTGCATCCTGCACAAACATTCCAAGCGTAGGGAGCTCGCCCCGTCCCCGTGTAGCACACCCCATTTGGGAGCAGCTCCTTTTGGGTAGAAAGTTTGATCTCATCATGAGTGGAAATCTGCCTCCTTGAAAATCGGGCTCTGCCCGTTAGAGATAACGGAACTTACCATGATTCTTCTTCCACATGATAGCTCTTCAGGTTTTTTTGTGTGTGTGTGGTACGCGCGCCTCTCACTGTTGTGGCCTCTCCCGTTGCGGAGCACAGGCTCCGGACGCGCAGGCTCAGCGGCCATGGCTCACGGGCCCAGCCGCTCCACGGCATGTGGGATCTTCCCGGACCGGGGCACGAACCCGTGTCCCCTGCATCGGCAGGCGGACTCTCAACCACTGCGCCACCAGGGAAGCCCTCTTCAAGTATTTTTAAAGACAGTTGTCATTCTTCACCCCATCCACAGTCCTGCCTCCCAGTCGCTGCTGTTCTCTCTACAGAGTGCATCCTCCTCCAACTACGTAGTCTAAATCGTGCTTGTTTTTAGGCCAGTCCGGGTTCCTCTCCTTCCCAGTTTCCAGGATGAAAAAGTCTTTCCCTCCCTCGACTGGCTTAAAGCTCCACATTCTACCTTGTATTATAATTTTGTCCTGAAGAACTTTTCTACTAGACTGTAAGCGAATGAAGAGCAGTATCTTCATATATTGTTCACAGTGCTCTGAGCACCAAGCATTTTGCTGCTGAGGTTCCCTCTGTTCAGAATATTCTTTTCCCCAATAGCCACTTGCCTTAATCCCTCGCTCAGATCTCAGCTCACGTGTCAGCTTCTTGGAGCAGCCCGCACTGTCCACCCCATTCAAAGTATCACTACCTCCTTCCCATCCAGCTCCTCTGCCTCCATCCTGTTATCTTGCTTTCATTTTTTCCATTGTACTTGTCACCACCTGATGGATTAAACACTTATTTGTCTCTGCCCACTCGAATGAGAGCACTTTGCTTTGTTCGTTGCTACATGCCCAGAGCCTTGAACAGGGCCTGGCACTTGGTAGCTGTGTGATATAACACAGTGAATGAGTGACCGGGGACAAAACTGAAATATCTTCTGCCAGGCTCGGCACATATGAGTCATTCAAACACTTACTGAATGTGTGATTACCTCCCACCACATGCATTCTAGTTGACCAACATTTTCTTAACAATCTTGGGCCCAGGACCAAACCTGGACTCCTGACATGGTCTGGCCAGTGCTGCCTAGAGCAGTTCTATCAACTGCCTTCCTTTTGGAGATGGTGCAGTGGAGGGGAAGTGGGGTTCAGGAGGTAGACTAGACCCAAACCTCACCCTGTCCCCTGTGTGGGCTCTACCTGGTGGCTGCAGTGAGGCCCCACCAGGAAAAGCCTGGAAAACCGCCGTGGAGCCACTTGTCCAGGGGCACCGCCAGACCCTCTCCTGTGGCTTCTGGATGGAGCCGGGAGATCTCACAGCCCTGGAGTGCCTTGCTATCCTTTCACAGTGGTTCCAGACCACCTTGGAGGAAATCTTCTGCTCCTTTCCCTTGAGGTCCAGCCTCAGCCGCATCCACGCACCAGGCACAGAACTACCCAGAGTTGAGGAACTTCACGTCTGGACTCTCCCTCCTCTCTTTCCTGGAATTCCCAATCCTTCCTCTGGGCTCTTTTTGCTCTCTCTCTCTCTCTCTCTCTCTCTCTCTCTCTCTCTCTCTCGGAATTCCCGATCCTTCCTGGCCCATCTCTCACTTCTGTTTGCAGGCCTGTCTTCCACCCCCAGACTAGCGGCCACGGTCACCCTGGGAACGCCCACAGTGTGCTCTGCCCAGCCCATCTGCCTCCTGCCTCCACCTCCATCCCCCGGTGCTGGGACCGCAAAGATGAGCGAGCTACTCGGGGCCCCATCCTTAAATAGATCACTCCCGTGGAGGCACTGGAGGTTTGCCCATTGAAATACAGCTCAGATGACCACCATGAGATTGCTATTATCCCTCCTCACAGCTCCCTTAGTCCTCTCTGCCTGGTATGCGCTATGTACGTAGTATTTTATACTATCGTTTTTTGGTGAGTTTGTCTTAATTTCTCTCTAACCCATACACTCCGTGGAGCAAAGTCTAGCTATGACTGTATCCTCCCAAAGTCTAACATAATGCTTATACATTGTGGATATTCAAGAGAGTTAGGCTCAATTAGCGAATGTGTGTTCAGCATACTATCGTGTGCATCTAGATTACGGTGATGCAGGATGAGTAAACCTGGGTCCACGGGAGGTGTCCCTGGTGGTCTGGGCCCAGGCTAATGGGCAGCTCTTTAGAAGAAGCTTACTGTGGGCTGCAGACCAACCCCAGGACATCTGCCCAACATCTGCACCCTCCCCAGTTTCATTCCAGACTGCACATTGAAGGTTAAGATGATGTTTTAATTATAATCCCAGCTTCTCCTTCCCCCTTCCTCTTCCTTTTCCTTCTCTTCACCAGGACTCTTTTGTTTTAGAACGATGGTGGCTTTTCTTAAGCCCTGGGCACTTGGAACTTGGTCTTAGGCATTTGTGTGTTTCCTCTGGGGAAGCTGGGACCCTGTGTCCTAAAGCATTCTTGAGGTTGATAATGGGAGGTTTCTAATTATTTTCATGACAGGTGTACCTCGGAGATATTGTGGGTTCAGTTGAAGATCACCCCAATAAAGCAAATATCAAAATAAAGAGAGTCACACAAATGTGGGGGGTTTCCCAGTGCATATAAACGTTGTTTACAGTATACTGTAGTCTATTAAGTGTGCAAAAGCATTATGCCTAGAAAAACAACGTACATACCTTAATTTAAAAATACTTTATCACTAAAAAATGCTAATCATAGGAGCTTTCAAGGAGTCATAATCTTTTTGCAATAGTAACATCAAAGATCACTGCCCACAAGTCACCATACAAATATAATAATGCAAAAGTCTGATATTACAATAACTACCAAAAAGTAGTACAGAGACATGAAGTGAGCAAATGTTGTTGGAAAAATGCCAGGGATAGATTTTTCAGCAGAGGGTCACCACAGACCTTCAATTTGTAAAAAACAAAAAAACCCTGTAATATCTGTGAAGCACAGTGAAGCGAAGCACGATAAAGCAACGTATGCTTGTATTTTTCAAACTCTGGGGAAACTGTACGTTTGCCTGAAATTCAACTACATATAGAGCTTCCATACAGAGCATCATGTTCCTTTCCTGATGGTTGGAATAACATCACAGCTCACCTCCTGCTGATGGAAAGCTCTGATTGGCAGTTATGTTGTCTTGAGTAAAATTGGATAAGCATATTTTACTCATGACAGTTTGTTGGATAGATGACTTGTTTCAGCGTGCAAGGCCTATCAGGAGAGACTCTGGAAGGGAAATCAGGAAGGAAACGCTTCCTGTGGGAAGCGTTAAGGAAGACGGTGTCTCTGTGTCCCCCGTCTCCCTCGGCAGGTGGCAGGAATTCCAGACCATGGTGTTGGAACGGCGGGAGGCTGTGGACTCGGCCCTCCGGGTGCACAGCTACTGTGTGGATTGCGAGGAGACCAGCAAGTGGGTGATGGACAAGACAAAGGTGGTGGAGTCTACAAAGGACCTGGGCCGGGACCTGACAGGCGTCATCGCCATCCAGCGCAAGTTGTCGGGGCTGGAGCGTGACGTGGCCGCCATCCATGCCCGCGTGGATGCCCTGCGGCAGGAGTCGCAGCAGCTGATGGAGTCACACCCTGAGCTGAAGAAGGACATTGGCCAGCGGCAGGCGTATGTGGAGGAGCTGTGGCAGGCCCTGCAGCAAGCCCTGAAGAGCCAGGAGGCCTCGCTGGGGGAAGCCAGCCTGCTGCAGGCCTTCCTGCAGGACCTGGATGCCTTCCAGGCCTGGCTGTCCACGGCCCAGAAGGACGTGGCCTCCAAGGACATGCCTGAGTCCCTCCCAGAGGCCGAGCAGCTCCTGCAGCAGCATGCGGCCATCAAGGACGACATTGACAGGCACCAGAATAGCTACCAGCAGGTCAAGGCATCCGGAGAGAAGGTGATCCACGGCCAGACGGACCCAGAGTACCTGCTCCTGGGCCAGCGGCTGGATGGCCTGGATAAGGGCTGGGATGCCCTGCACCGGATGTGGGAGAGCCGCAGCCATGCCCTCACCCACTGCCTCGGCTTCCAGGAGTTCCAGAAGGATGCCAAGCAGGCTGAAGCCATCCTCAGCAACCAGGTAGGGCGAGGCATTCAGGGCCAGGGGCCAGGGGGCATCTCTCAGGGCAAGAGGGAATTTATGTCATAAGTCTGCAACAGGGCTCAGGGACCAAATTATGCCTTTCTTGGACTCTCTCTAGCCACTAGTTCGGAGGACAGTCCTCTTCGTTCCTCATCATGTGCCCTTTCCAGCCCCGTGTCACAGACTACGTCTTGTTCTTGGGCCAGTTAGAGGCTAGTGAAGTGAATTTTTCCCCGGGTGGTTACCCTTCCATGTGGCTTCAGGCACCCTGTTGATCAGATGCCCCTGAGAGGGGTTGGGGAACAAGACCCAGGGAGCTCCTTCCTTCCACAGCTCCGGGGGGTACCATTCATGCTGTCACCTGCATGGCTGCACACGGTGCGCCTGCCTGGCGGGTGCCCTCCCCGCCTCCTCAGCTTGTCTTCATGCCTGTTCTGGAAACTTGCTTCAACAGGAATACACTCTGGCTCACTTGGAGCCCCCAGACTCCCTAGAAGCTGCAGAGGCCAGGATCCGGAAGTTTGAGGAATTCCTGGTGTCTATGGAGAACAACCGGGATAAGGTTTTGAGTCCTGTGGACTCTGGAAACAAGCTGGTAGCTGAAGGAAACCTCTACTCAGACAAGATCAAGGAGAAGGTGCAGCTGATTGAGGACAGGTACCCTCCGCCCCTAGGGTCACGGGGCCCGGTAGGGTGGTGGTACAGCGCTCAGCACCATCGTGACTGTGGCTCCGGCTTCCCTTCCAGGCACAGGAAGAATGACGAGAAGGCCCAGGAGGCCTCAGTCCTTCTGAGAGACAACCTGGAGCTCCAGAACTTCCTGCAGAACTGCAAGGAGGTGAGGCTCCAGCCAGGCTGGCCACTTGGCAGGAGATTCCTTCTAGAAGCAGAGCGTCCTAGGGGTGGGAAGTCCTTTCTAGACTCAGGAGTCTGGATTCCAAGTGGGGAGCTCTGGGCACTTGACAGCTTAAGTCCTTCATCCTCTACAATCTTTGGTTCCACAATTTCTTTTTCAAATCTGTAAAGATAGCTTCTAATTTGTCAAGTCCAGGGCAGGCTTTCTCAAAAAGTGGCCTGAGGACTGTCTGTATTAAGAGTCACCTAGGGCCCTGGTCAGGGTCGGCCTGAAAGTCGTGTGACCTGTGCATTCATACAGGGCCCCGTGCTTACAAGGGCCCCATGTTTAGTTTAATGCTCTCCTGTTGCCATCTTGAAATTCTTTTTTTTTTTTAATAGTTTTCCTTTAGCAGATTCTACTTTCAAAAAAAAAATTTGTTTTACATCTTTCTTGGAGTATAATTGCTTTACAATGGTGTGTTAGTTTCTGCTGTATAACAAAGTGAATCAGCTATATGTATACATATATCCCCATATCCCCTCCCTCTCGCACCTCCCTCCCACCCTCCCTATCCCACCCCTCTAGTGGTCACAAAGCACTGAGAAATTCTTAATAATTCTGAATATTTCCATTTTGCACGAGGCCCTGCAAATTATGGAGCCAGTCTTGGCTCTGGTTAGATGCAGACTCCTGGGCCCCACTTGGGCCCAGATGAACCAGAACTTAGGGGGTGAAAAAGAGCAACATTCTCAACCAACCTTCTGGTTGGAGAACTGCTGACTCAGAAGCTCCTCGCTCAGCCTGGGGAGAGCTGTACAGGAAGGTCTTTAACCTGCACTCCTAGGTCCTTCCGTGAACAGTACTTCCATGTGGAATGGGGCTTCCCCTGACTTCTTTCTTGCTTCCATCCTCATACCCCTTTCCTCTCAACCCAAATGACTTTGTTTTCACCCACCTCTGCCCTTGGTACCAACCAGGCTTGTTATGGTGCCAGGACATCTTGGAAACATCAGAGGCTCATCACAGTTCTTCCTTCATTGTTAATTATAGGATCTGCCTTGGCTTTTTCCTCAGAGAACACTTTCTCCGTGTTTATTAATGATTTCTCCCCCTACTGCCAAAGGGTTGATTTATCCATCCATTCAGTAAACACTTGTTGAGTTCCTGCAGTAGGCCAGGCCCTGTCCTCGGTCCTGGAAATATGGAGAGAAGTATAAATATACCTGGTGTCATAGTGCACACACTCTAGAGGGGAAGACACAGTAGTGCCTGTATTTTAACCCTGAGACAACGCAGGTTAAGTTTCCTGTGCTGGGAGTTAGGGATCCAGCGTTGGAGGGGAGTACTCTGCTGTGCTCCTACTTCCTCCCCTTGGTCCTCTTCTTCCGCAGCCAGAGCTAGGCGGCAGTCCTGCCCTGAGCCCCTGGCCAAAGAAGGACACTCGGGGACCATTGAACCCACTCTTTCTGCCCACAGCTCGCTCTCTGGATCAATGACAAGCTGCTGACATCTCAGGACGTCTCCTATGATGAAGCTCGAAACCTTCACAACAAATGGCTGAAGCATCAGGCGTTCGTGGCAGAGCTGGCTTCCCACCAGGGGTGGCTAGAGAACATTGATGCAGTGAGTAGAGCGAGCGTTTGGGCTGTCTGCTTGGGATGCTTCCCTGAGCAGCGCTTCACACAGGGCATGGACACTGGCCCGCAGCTTGCTGGACGGTGTAGAACCTGAGCGTGAAAAACTTCTCCAAGTAGTAGTTAGACCTTCAGAGCTCCTGATACGTCCAGTCTTATAAAACCCGGTCAGAATGGGTGCCTCCTCTGGGTCACCTGAGTCTGGGGACAGTCCAGGACACTGAGGACACAGAGTCAGAGCCTCAGCTTTCAGTGCTAGGACGGCAGTAACCTCTGTCTGCCTTCCATCGTCCACACCAGGGCCCCGCGCTGTCCTGCCCAGGGGCAGGGGAATATGTGAGATGAGCAGAATGGGCCAGGGGCTACTGACCCTCACTGTTTGGATGGGCAAACCACCAGGAAGTGGTCATTCGTACCAAGGGTCCCCCCTGTAACAAGCTTGCCCAGGGGCCCAAGTCAGAATGTGGCCGGAGTTAGATCTGGGAATAGGAAGGGAGGTACCTCTGCCCCTCCCTGCTGTGGCTATCTGGAAAAAGCGGGCCTAGGGCCACACAAGGCTGTGTCCATCGTGGCTAAGGGTGCAGGCTCCGAGCCAGGCTGTCTGACTTCTCAACCTCCCTGTGCCTCAGTTTCTTCATCTGTAAAATGAGGATAATAACGGTACCCACCCGAGGGAGTTGTGAGCATTAAAGCACTTAGAGTATTACTTGGCAATTATTAGGCACTCAATAAATATTATCTATTACTAGCAAGTATGTATTCCTAGGCCCAAATCATCTGTAACCTTCCGAAAAAGATACATTTATGTGGGTGAAAACCAGACAAGGCAAACTCAGCAACTAAAAGATACCACTGAAGGTCAGTGCACAGATTCTGGCAAGACAATTAAGAGCGGGTGAAGGAATTCCCTGGCAGTCCAGTGGTTAGGACTCTGCCCTTTCACTGCTGAGGGCCCAGGGTCAATCCCTGGTCTAGGAGCTAGGATCCCGCAAGCTGCGCGGCACGATAAACAAACTCACTCACAGGGAGGTTTCCACGGTGGGTGTGCCTGGGTGGATCTTGAATCTTTTTTTTTTAAATAACTAAAAAAAATTTTAGTACTAGCTGGTTCTTGTCTGCAGCTCCCTATGCTACAGTCTCCCTGAGTCATTTGCCCCAGACACGCTCTCCCTGTCCCACCTTCTACTTCTACTGCAAATAACTTCTACTTCAAATAACTGCAAATAACTCTGGGGGTGCAGAGTCTCTCAGCCGAGCCTCACCTGAGTTCTAGGCAGATCCTTTGCCTCACTGGCCTCCCCTCGGTTAGCCCTTTGCAACCACCTGGAACAAGGCGGCTCTCCAAGGTCAGAGGGTGAACTCTCCTGCTTCCCCACACAGGAAGGAAAGCAGCTGATGGAGGAGAAGCCCCAGTTTGCAGACCTGGTGTCCCAGAGGCTGGAAGCCTTGCACCGGCTCTGGGATGAGCTTCAGGCCACCACACAGGAGACGACCCAGCACCTCTCAGCCGCCAGGAGCTCTGACCTGCGCTCACAGACCCAGGCCGACCTCAACAAGTGGATCAAGGCCATGGAGGACCAGCTACGGTCGGACGACCTGGGCAAGGACCTGACCAGCGTCAACAGGATGCTGGCTAAGCTGAAGGCAAGTGAGCAGGTTGTAGACTGAGGGTGTTGGAATGGAGGGGGTCTTGGAAGCAAATCTGCAACCTGAAAGAGAGTACCCTCCTGTGCCCTTAGCTGGGCTGGCTTTTTTATCAGGTCTCCTGGTTCACAGCCCAGCTCCTACCCTTTTGCAATGGGTAAGACAGGGAGGGATCCAGACGGGGTAATAAAAGTGTGCGTGAGAAGTATAGGACAGACGCTCAGAGGGGCAGAAGATGAGGTGGGGGCAATCCAAGGAGACTTCTTAGGGGAGGCTGAGCTCAAACCAGGCCTTTGAGGATGGGTGGGATTTGCACGATGAAGTGGACGAGGGGCTGCCCAGGTGCCAGGGCTGGTGCCGACGCTGTCCCCTTGTGTCCCAGCGTGTGGAGGACCAAGTGAACGTGCGGAAGGTGGAACTGGAGGAGCTGTTTGCCCAGATGCCCTCGCTGGGAGAGGAGGCGGAGCATGAAGACTTGAGCATCGAGAAGCGGTTCCTGGACCTTCTGGAGCCCTTGGGGAGGAGGAAGAAGCAGCTGGAATCATCCAGAGCCAGGCTGCAGATCAGCCGGGACTTAGAGGATGAGACGGTGGGTGGGCCGCAGCTCCCCCCTCCCCCAGCGGCTGAGCCGGCAGCTGTCACCGGGATAGCTGGCGGCTGCCCGGGGCAGTTCTTGGTAGCAGACGTCTGGTCATCTCACCGCCTTGTCTCAGAGGGTGGTTGTGATGACTACATGAAACGTCAGTGTAAGCCAGTGCCTTTTGAATGGTAGCTCGCTCGTGGACTTGGGGGCCAGGCAGACCTGGGTTCAAGATCCAGCTACATTGCCTTCCCTCCAAGTGACCAGGAGCAAGTTATTTGGAACCTCAGTTCAAAATAGCAAAATGCCCCCATTTTACAAAACCCTGATGGGGTGTTGGGAAGAGCTGGGGAGACACAGTAAGCAGAGCTCTGTCTGGCCCGCGGTGAGTGATGGGGAAAGGGTGGCTGTGATTGTCGTCAGCTGTCCCCCGCCTTCTGGTCTCCGCAGCTCTGGGTGGAGGAGAGGCTGCCTCTGGCCCAGTCGACCGACCATGGCACGAACCTGCAAACTGTGCAGCTGTTCATGAAGAAGAACCAGGTGAGTCCTGCCACCTCGTCAGTCCCACCTGCCCCACAGAGGAAGCCCCAGCCCTGATCTGCACAAGGTCCCCAGCAGCACATAACAGATTATTGTTCTTTTTTAAAAAATTTATTTATTTTATTTACTTATTTTTGGCGGTGTTGGGTCTTCGTTGCTGTGCGCGGGCTTTCTCTAGTTGCGGCGAGCGGGGGCTAGTCATTGCGGTGGCTTCTCTTGTGGAGCACGGGCTCTAGGCGTGCAGGCTTCAGTAGTTGTGGCACATGGGCTTAGTTGCTCCACGGCATGTGGGATCTTCCCGGACCAGGGCTCGAACCCGTGTCCCCTGCATTGGCAGGCGGATTCTTAACCACTGCACCACCAGGGAAGCCCCAGGTTATTGTTGTTGTTGATAGCTACAGGGTCCCCAGTCTGTGTTTGTATTCTCATAGCCGAAGGAGCAGCTCTGATGATGGCAGAGAGAATTCTGGGAGGACCACAGAGTGGGGTGGAGGTGAATGGGGCCGGGGGGTCCAGGTGCTTTGGGATTTGGGGCCATTCAGACCCATCAGGGCACAGGTGTGTGCAGGACCTGGAGGCCCTGGCCTGGGGTTTCATGTCCTTTACAGCTTCTGTATTCCGTGACCTCCCTGAGAGGAGGCTCTTAGCTCCTGGCGTCTCTCCCATCACTGCCTTGTCCCTCTTCCAGGGCTAAGCTTGGCCTATTGAGTCTCCTCAGGGTAAGTAGGCCCCTGTTCTCTAGACACATGAGCATACTTGTGGGGCTGCAACGCCACGAGGAAGCTGCTAAACTCGGACTCTGAGCCATTGGAGGAAACATCCGTTGGCTGTTCTGCTCTCCCAGGCTGGATTGGGAATCTCTGCAGCCCTGGTCAGAATCCTGGAAGTGAGCAGATGCACTTCCTCTGTGTCAGGGCTGCAGGGGAAGCCTGCGTCCTCCAGGAAGGCCAGCTGCATGGGTTCATGGTCAGGCCATGTGGTCTAGCCAGGGGCTGGCCGTACCCCTGCTCTTGGGCAGAGAGTCCCTCCTGCCTGGTCTGCTCTCTGCTTCAGGAAGTGGCGGCAGCCGCAACCTTGAGCAAGGAGTGTCTAGGAACTTATCCCAGAGAAGAGCAGTGTGTCCCAGAGTGCCAGTCGGTACTGCAGCTCATTGGGGAAGGAAGGTCATGGCAGACAGTACGTCCTTCCCCCCAGATATCAGCAGCCAACATCTGCTCACAGAACCCAGCAACTGTGCAAAGGCCTGAATGAATTATATTCAAAGACGTTCCTTAAAAGCTCCCTCGAACACTTTGCTTCTAGTTGGCATGATCAAATCCCAGAGGTTCCGGTGGCAACACGTAGGGACCTGAATTAGAAGGTGGTGGAGGCGGGGCTTCTGCTAACATCACACCCTCCAGTGAAAGTGGGGAAGACTGGTAGAAGACTATTCTCGGGGCCTCAGTTTCCTCAACTATAAATTGGGCCAACTCTAGTCCTTCCAGTACTCAAGACTTCAGCCTCAATGAGTGTTATTGCCAATGATTTTCAACTCCCCTGGCTGAAGGTTGCTATTTCAGGAGAAGGGCAAGACTAATATGGATGGGGTTCCCCTTAACAAGAAGGGAAAGATAATCTCGTGGGAGAGCACGGCTGCCCCAGTAAAGACTATTTCAGGCTAGCCTTGCTAAAGCCGAAATCCCATTTTATCATTTCTTCTACTGCAGTGGTCAGTGTGTATCAGGCTCACCCGGAGGGCTTGTTAAAACACAGTTGACCAGGCTCCACCCTAGATTTACTGCATCAGACTCTGGGAGCAGAGCCTGATAATTTGCACTTCTATCAAGATCCTAGGCGATGCTGCTGCTGCTGGCCTGGAACCCCACTTTGAGAACCACCACTTTAATGGCTGTCATTGCAACTAGAACAGAACCTGCAAGGTGCCGCACGAGGGGTTCTCAACTCTGGATGCACATTAGAATCACCTGGGGGAACCTAAAAGCATACGAGTACCCAGGTCCCACCTCAGATCAATTAATAAGGACCTCTGGGGATGGGACCCTGGCTGTGTCTGTTTTCCCCGATGATTCAACCTGCAACCAGGGTTAAAAAGCAGTGTCCTGCCTGGTCTGGCCCCTGCCTCCTCCCGAATCTCCTCCCTTATCACTTTCGCCCTCCTTCACAGTATTCTAGCTTGCCTGACCCTTTGGACCGTCCAGGCTTGCTTCCACCCCAGGGACTTTCTTGGCACTCGCTCTTCCCTCCTGCCAGCAACACTCATCCCCCAGATCTTTGTGGGGTTGCCCTCTCCTCATCATTCATGTCTTACTCAGATGTCATCTGCACAGAAAACCCTTCCTGACTCCCCCAGTTAAAGAGGCCACCACCACACCTTGGAAGACAGTCCTCATCTCAGTGGTGTCTGTTCCTCGTGGTACCTGTTATATGCATTCATTCATTTATTTACATGCTTATCATTTCCTCTTCTAGAGTGTAAGCTTTATGAGGGCAGGGGTTTTGTTTATCTTGTTCCCATATTGTCCCTAGAACAGGGCCTGATACATCAGAAATAATAACTGGGTTGAATGAATGATGTCAGGGAAGAAGATGTTCTAAGTAAGCATACTGCACAGGAGCCTAGAAAGGAATTGCTTAAAAGGAGAGAAAGAAATACCTTTGTAGGATATAAGATCTCAGGGAAAGTAAAGAGGCAAGCGGAGCTGACATCACGGGTCATTTGACTACAATTGCAGAGACCACGGGAAATTGTCAGAATCGAGATTCTGAGCATCAGGTGTAAAGATGCATTTCAGCAAGTTAGGTGACTTGTGGGTATTGCTAGTTCTATGTGTTTTAAATGCTGACAGTCATAGCACAGCCTGTGTGTTCTTCTCTTACCCGCCGCCCTCTAGACAGTTTTCAAGGCCATGGGAAATTGTAAAAAGGGAGGAGATGGGGGCTAAGGAGCCAAAAGCCCACGTGCAAGGAGCAGCCGGGCTGGGGCCTCTAGGACCCAGAAAGCGAGTGACGACATGTCACGGCCCCCTGAAGATAAAGGTGACCCATCACCAGAGTGGGAAGAAAATGCCATCTTGGTGACCAAAGGCAGGAAATACTGAAACAGGGGAAAACAAAACGAAATCCTAAACTCTGACCAAGGGGCAACTGTCAACTATTGTTTTGTACAGCGTAAAAAAGCTGCTAAAATCAGATCTCAAAAGGCCATTTAAGAATCGTTTTCCTCTCCTCCACCACGTACAGCTAAGAAGTCAAGCTCTGCTGAGACAGGAGGTGTAGGGAGCCCTCCAGGGCACGTGTGGCTGCGAGAGAGCCACGTTCAAATCCCACTCTGGCACTGGCTGTCCACAGTCACCTAACTGCTGTGCGCTGGTGTCCAGTGCTAACCTCAGAAGGTCATGGTGGGGGCCAGAGGAGAATGAGGTGGCAGGCCCAGCACCGTGCTGGGCACCTGGTCACTAGCAGTCTTTATGGCCACATCTGCTCCACTCAAGCTTCCCCAAGGGGTTCAGGGCGAGAGGTGCCAGGGTGTGACCCTGGGCTGCCCTGCACGGTGGGAAGACCAGCCCCTGAGCCCTTCCCCTCTGGCCGCAGACGCTACAGAACGAGATCCTGGGCCACGCGCCGCGGGTGGAGGACGTGCTGCACAGGGGGCAGCAGCTGGTGGCCGCGGCCGAGATCGACTGCCGAGACGTGGAGGAGTGCCTGGGGCAACTGCAGGTCTCGTGGGACACACTGCGGGAGACGGCGGCCAGGCGGCTGCAGCGCCTGCGGGACGCCAGCGAGGCCCAGCAGTACTACCTGGACGCGGGCGAGGCCGAGGCCTGGATCAGTGAGCAGGAGTTCTACGTCTTCTCCGACGAGACCCCCCAGGTCGGCTCGGGCAGGGTGCCTGGCTGGGTGTCAAGACCAGCCCAGAGGAAGAGCTGGGTGGAGGTGGGCAGTCAGTGGGGAACCTGTAAGGCCAGGTGTGTGAGGAGTGAGGGCAGGGAGAGAGTGTACGAGTTACCCTGCTTCTCAGGACGCCCCTCCTCTCAAGAACATACAGTGCACGTACTGCAGCCGGGCGCCCTGTTTGCCAATTAGATTTGCTCTAACCCAAGGGTTCTTCACCTTTTTTGTGCCATGGATTCTGTGCAGATAAACTGCTGCGGGAGTGGGTGAGAGCTGAGGGGGGTCTCTAAAAGCTGGGGTGATACAGGAAGTTTCCATGGGGACAGAGGTTGGATCTGGGCCGGGAAGGGTGGATGTCAGATGAGAATTGAGGGTGACGAATGGAAGGTAGGGTGTGGGTGTTGCCGGGCAACGGGAGGAGAGGGGAGGGGACCGTGGGCAGTTCTCCTATGGGTGTCCCGCGAGCCTGGCCCTCCCCCATCTCGGGCACCTCCAGGAGCAGGGCTGTAAGCTGGGCCAGGTGAGCGCGTGCCCTGACGGTCCGCTGCCTCCTAGGATGAAGAGGGCGCCATCGTGATGTTGAAGCGGCACTTGCGGCAGCAGCGCACAGTAGAGGAGTACGGGAGGAGCATCAAGCAGCTGGCCGGCCGGGCCCAGAGCCTGCTGTCTTCAGGCCACCCCGAGGGGTGCGTGTGCCTCCAGGTCCCGGGCATCAGGCCAGGGGCCCCGCCGACCAGGATCCCTTCAGGTCCAAGGCGGAGAACAGGAACAGTTTTCCCGAAAACTGTGGGTTTGAGAAAACTGCCTTCTGGCCTGCTGATTGGCCCAGTTCCCTGTTATGTTGTGGTTTTGTGTAACTTCACACAGGGCTGACTGAGGCCCGGTTTGCAAAGAGATTTTAGGAAATGGAACAGCAAAACTACCCTCTTGGTGAACAGAGAGCTCCAGTCTTTTCAGGAGTTCGTCTTCAGCATCTTTCAGCTTAGCCTAAATTTGCTTTTCTTTTTGTGGTCCAGGAGGTACCTCAGGATCTCACAGTGTCTCAGCGAGATCATTATACACCCATCTACACTCTTCAGTTGTGTGGGTTCTGCATAAATGGGAGCCCACTGGGCCAGACACCTCGGGCCACCCCCAGTCGCGGCCCTGTCCTCAGTCACCTTCAGGGCACCCACAGCAGCTGCCTCAGCATCTCCCAAGGAGCCCCAGGGATCGAGCCCCTGGTATGGCATGCCCCTCCCGGAAGAGCTGAGCAGGGTCTGCTGCTGGTGGAGCCAGGCTCAGCCAGCCCACGCCTCAGCCTCCCTGGAAGAATAGCGGAAGAGTTCTCCATTTGCACGTGTCTCTCTGAGCTTCCCAGAGTCAGGGGCAGGGGCGGGAGGCACCCCCTCTAGGGGAACACATTTCACTATCCCCTGAAGCATCATGGTCTAAGGGATGGTTCCTTCTCTCCCCAACTCTTCCCCGTGCAAAGCCGCTCTGCCGTTTCTCTGAAGCTGTGCTCCGCCACGCGTCCCTGCCTCGGGCCTGGGGAGGAGGAGGCTGGCTCCTGATCTGGCTGCTCTAGGTTCTCTGTTGCCGTCTCTGAGGGCTTTCTTGTTTTGAATTCCAGGGAACAGATCATCAGACTTCAAGGGCAGGTGGACAAGCAGTACGCGGGGCTGAAGGACATGGCAGAGGAGCGCAGGCGGAAGCTGGAGAACATGTACCACCTGTTCCAGCTGAAGCGGGAGGTGGAAGACCTGGAGCAGTGGATCACGGAGAAGGAGCTGGTGGCCTCCTCCCCAGAAATGGGGCAAGACTTTGACCACGTGACTGTGAGTACCCATGGCCACCGCTTGCTTTGTCTCCCTCTAGTGCAGTAGACCTAGGAGCTGTCGTGCCAGACATATACACACACCCGCCAGGTGCAAAGTGCCGCAGAGATGCGGGCTCCCCCGGTGCGAGCTCAGGTGCCCTGGGGAAGACGTAAGAGCCCAGCCCCAGGCAGTGGCAGGTGCCGCTGGGAGGGTCGACAGCTAGTGTGATGACACCACCACACCCCTGAGCCCTGGTAACCGGTAACCGCTTTTCTGTCTACCCCCGTCCAGCTGCTCCGGGACAAGTTCCGGGACTTTGCCCGGGAGACCGGGGCGACTGGACAGGAGCGGGTGGACAACGTGAATGCCATCATTGAGCGGCTCATCGACGTGGGCCACGCAGAGGCGGCCACTATCGCCGAGTGGAAGGACGGGCTGAACGAGATGTGGGCGGACCTGCTGGAGCTCATTGACACGCGCATGCAGCTGCTGGCCGCCTCCTACGACCTGCAGCGCTACTTCTACACTGGCGCCGAGATCCTGGGCCTCATTGAGGAGAAGCACCGCGAGCTGCCTGAGGATGTGGGGCTGGATGCCAGCACCGCCGAGTCCTTCCATCGCGTGCACACAGCCTTCGAGCGGGAGCTCCACCTGCTGGGTGTGCAGGTGCCTCTCATCCCTGGCCGTCCCTCCACGCCTTCCCCATGACTGGCTTCCCTGGGGCGCAGTGTCAGGTCCTCTCCTGGCTTCCAGAGGGGAGACTTCTCGAACAGGCATCTCCTTAGAGAAGCAACAGCTCCGGGCAGGAAGCAGAGGCTTTCAGATGCTCTTTAGCTTCAGAACTAGTTCTTTAAACTGAACCTTTCCCAAAACCCGATGCAAAAATACCTTCAAATGCAATTTCTCTGGTTGTCAAAGTGTTACAGTATCATTAGTGAACATACATGTAGCACTTTTCTAGTACCAGGTACTGTTCTAAGCAATATACGTGGTCAGTGAATCCTCAGCCTCCCTCTGAGGAAGGGAATAATGTTATCTGCCTTTTCTAGATGAGGAAAGCAGGCACAGAAGGGTAACTAAGTTGTCCAGAAACATGCAGCTAAGCAGTGGAGCCAGAATTCAGCTCCTGGCAGTCTGGCTATAGACTCTTAGCCACTGAGCTGTTCAGCCTTTCCCCATGGGAGCTGGAGGGGGGTCCAAGGCCAGCCTAGACTCCCTCCTCTCATCATGGGTTGCCCCCTGAGGTACCTCCACAGGCCCCTAGAGTTCTGCAGAGTTCAGCATGATGGATAGGTTGAGGGCAAGGGCCTCAGCTGTGGGGACTCACCGGGCCTCCAGTGGAGCAGGGAGAGCTGGGCCAGCTGTGCAGTCCTGCACCGACCCAGCAGGGTTTTGGGAAAGAACACCAAAGTAGGTTGGGCCCCTGGTTCACCAAGAAGGGGACAGCCTCAAGATCTGTCCTCCAGCTGGAGGTGCTTTGGGGTTACTGGAGCCCCTGTGGCAGGTACAGCCCCAACGAGGTCTCAGGAATGAGGCTTCACTGCCCTGGGGCCGGCCTGAAACAGGGGATGGTACCATGCAGAATGGTTAGGAACAGCGAGTTGAGAGCACGCCTCCAATCCCAGTTGCACCCTCTCTGAGCGTGAGTGACCTCGGGCCAGTCACTTAGCGTCCCTGTGCCTCAGTTTCCTCATCTCAAAAACAGGGATAATAATAGTACCTCTTTGATGGTGTTGTTGTAAAGATGAAGAGAGTAACAGAAAGTGTGTAGAGCAGCGCCTGGTACATAATTACTCTCATAGTCATACACCAAAGGGCACAGAGCCCCTCTCACTCCCCAATCCTCATCAGAGCCCAAGGGATGCTTTGGGTCAGCAGGGGTGCCAAAGCAAGGAGCCTTCTCTCCAGCACCCAGTGGGTGGATCCTGCTTCCAGCACTGTCCCCGGGAGGGAGACTGGGAGGAGGCAGACGCCCTCGCCCGTCCCAGGCCCAAGTCGTGTCTGCCTGGAAAACAATGTTCAGTTTTGCCCCATCACAGGTACAGCAGTTCCAGGACGTGGCCACCCGCCTGCAGACAGCGTACGCTGGAGAGAAGGCAGACACCATCCAGAACAAGGAACAGGAGGTGTCTGCTGCATGGCAGGCGTTGCTCGATGCCTGCGCGGGGCGCCGCACCCAGCTGGTGGACACCGCGGACAAATTCCGCTTCTTCAGCATGGTCCGAGACCTCCTCTCCTGGATGGACAGCATCATCCGGCAGATCGAGACCCAGGAGAAGCCCAGGTGAGGGCAGCGTCCTCAAGGCAGCCCCGCTCCCGGCCCACTTGGTCCCAGAGGCTGGCAGAGCAGGGCGCTGCTCCAAGGGTCTGCCCCAGAGGGACGTCCTGGACTGTGGGTGCACAAGAATCCCCAAGGGGCACCTGAGGCTGCGTCCAGGGAGAATCTGAGTGGCTCAGCTGCCACCGGGAGAACCGACTATTCCAGAGTAAAGGGAATCCTGAGAGTGCCGAGAAAGACATCTGTCGTTCAGATTCTACGGTGGGGGCAGGGGCCGTGGTTGTCAGTTTACACATTCAGAGCTGGGCAGGTCCAGAAGTGGTCCTGCTCTTCCCCCCAGCACGGGCATATGGGGGCCATTTCCCTAAAACTCAGGAAAGGAGCTCATTGCGCGTGAGAGGTGGGGGCAGGCACGTGGGCAGTCGGCCGGGATCAGAGCTCTCTACACGCTTTGTGCCCACCTCTGTCCCTCTGCCCCTAGGGTGCCTGTCCCGGTGGCCAAGCTTTTATATTTAACATCATTATTGAGCTATAATCCACATACCATACAATTCAGCCATTTAAAATGTACCATTCAATGTTTCGCATAGTCACAGTTGTACAGCCGTCACCACAGCACGTTTAGAACATTTTCATCACCCCAAAAAGAAACCCTGTACCCCTTAGCAGTCACCACCCCCCGCTCCTCTGGCAACGCTAATCTGCTTTCTGTCTCTAAATTTGCCTGTTGTAGACTTTTCATATGAGTGGATCATATAATATGTGGTCCTTTGTGACTGGTTTCTTTCACTTACCACAAGCTTTCCAAGGTTCATCCATGTATCAGTACCTCATTCCTTTTTATTGCCAAATTTAACATTCCCGGGCTTTTTTTATGGTCACTGCACCCCCGTCCATGTCCTGACCACTGAGCAAAGGAGGACCCTAGGGCATCAGTGTTCCTGCTGGGGCTGGGCAGCTGGCAGAGGACTTCCTGGCTGTCCAGAGAGAGAGAGTCAGACTCCCGGGCAGGTAGGGGTCCCCCTCTGATCGGGACTTGATGTCAGATGGGCCAGAGTCACCCAGAGTTTCCTTTTTCACCAAACACCCGCCCCCGCAGGGACGTCTCCTCGGTGGAACTGCTCATGAAGTATCACAAGGGCATTCTGGCGGAGATGGAAACCCGAAGCAAGAACTTCAGCGCCTGCCTGGAGCTCGGCGAGTCCCTGCTGCAGCGGCAACACCAAGCCTCGGATGAGGTGTGAGGGGAAGGCGGGACAGAGACGGGCCCTCCCTGTCCTTGCCTCCGCTCCTGCTGGGCCAGACAGCTTCCTGGGAGGGAACCCATGGGCCGTGGTTTCTCTGAGGAGGCTTTCTTGGGGGGGGTACTGGGGCTGTGTGTAGGCCCGGGGCTTATAGCTCCACCAAACCTATTTGAGGAACTGGCCGCTACTCTGTTGGGAGAGTGGGCTCATAACCCAACTAACCCTCATGTGTGTGTGTGCTTTGGTCTTGGTGACACCCACTTCCTGGGTGAGGCCCGTGGTAACCTCAGAGAGGTTAAGTAATTTACCCAAGGCTGCACAGCTGGCAAGTGGCAGGGCCAACACTTGAAGCCAGGTCGGTGGGACAAAGCCCAGCAGGCTGTGCAGGGCCCCTCCGCACACCACCTCGGACAGGGGGAAGGGTTACCAAAGCCTGAGCCGTCTCCCCTTCCTCCCCACAGATCAGGGAGAAACTGCAGCAGGTGGTGTCCAGGAGGAAGGAGATGAAGGAGAAGTGGAAGGCCCGCCAGGAGCAGCTCCACATGTGTGAGTGCAGCCTGGGAGCCAGGGAACCTGGGGGGGCGGGCCGGGGGGAGGGGCCGGGGAGGGGTGATGTTGCAACGCGGTGGATTTCCTCCCCTGCTGGAGAAGAGCCTCCACAGCACCACTCATCAGCAAAGTTCAGGGCCAAGGGCCTTGGGGAAGCAGACCCAGCAGACACGCTGCTGGAAGCCTGCCCTTGACCAGCCAGCACCCGTTCCCTGTCCCCCCTCTGCCCCACCTGTTCCCCGCCTCCTGCTTGGCCGGTGTCTCCGTAGAGCTGTGGCCTCTCCAGGGGTCAGGGTAAGGCTCTAGCACATCCCAAAGGTTTGATCTGAGGCGTGTGGGGCACAGAAAGAACTCTGTTCTCCGCAGCTGGAAACAGGAGAGGTAGGGAAATTCCACCACCCAGGTAGGAGCCACAAGCCACAAAGACCTGGACTCTCCCGTGGCTGCTTGTGTAAGACTGTGTGAGTGAGACAGCCAGGGGCCGGGAAGGGAACACTCAAGACTGTTCTCAAAGGGCGATGTCAAAGCCATTTTGTTTTAGAGTTTGTTCTAATTCATGTGTTTTTCAAATATCGCTATCGGTGGAGATGAGGTAGGGGCCCAGCATGGGGATGGAGCAGCCTCGGGCAGCAGGTCGCCACTGAGCAGGGTGTCCACGCGGTTCAGGGACACCTGTGTGGGCCTCGGCCTGCCCACCAGCTCCGCATGTCCGTGAGGGGCCCCAGGGTCCCGGCAGGATCGGACCGCCGGGTGCTAACAGACCCCTGGGCTGTGTTGTCCGTGGCAGGGCTGGAAGTGTGCCAGTTCTCTCGGGACGCCTCGGTGGCTGAAGCGTGGCTGATCGCCCAGGAGCCCTACCTGGCCAGCCGGGACTTTGGACACACGGTGGACAGCGTGGAGAAGCTCATCAAGAGGCACGAGGCTTTTGAGAAATCCACGGCAGGCTGGGCAGAGCGCTTCGCCGCCCTGGAGAAGCCCACCACGGTGAGCCGGGAGGCTCGGGGCGGTGGGCAGCCACGCCTGGGGGGTCCTCAAGTCAAGAAGTCTTCGGCGGTTACTGGGGACCTGCGGACAGTGTAAAGGCTGGGCAAGGCGGGAGAGTGGGAAGGAAATAGGAGAGGGAGAAAGTGCTGACTTTTGAACCCCAAAGACAAAAGGGGCTCATTCCAAAAGGAAGGAACACCAGGTACGTCGGGTATCGGGAGCCTCTTTGGAGGAAGGTTGTCTGAGAGCAGGCTCCCCTCTGTGGCTTCTCTGACCCGACACCCACCCCCGGCCTTTGCCTCCCCTAGCTTGAGCTCAAAGAACACCAGACCCCGGAGAGAACTGACGAGGAGACTGGGTGAGTGCCCTCTGCTGAGAGGGGTGGAGGAGGAGAGGGGAAGGGTCCTTCCAATCAGAAACCGCCCCCTGATGCCTTGACAAACCACCTGTGACCTCCCACACCTGGGCCACTAGTCAGGGAAATAGAGTGTCTGGAGCTTAAAGACAGAGAAGAGCTTTCATTCTCCCCCAGTCCTGGGTGGCCTGAAGGCCTCGTGCAGGAAGGAAATGGGTGGAGAGCAGTGGCTGCTGCACCCTTGCCCCCCTGCTCTGGGAACCGGCTGAACATGTGTCCCAGAGGCCGTGCTGCACGGAGCCATGGCATTTCTGAAGCATCTGCCTAACCTTTCAGGCGGAGGCAGGTCGAGCAGCTCCTTGCTAAGTGTCTGCCAGGCTGCTGACTTGGCTTGTGTTCTCTGGGGACGGGGTGGGAAGCCAGGCCTTGGAGGTAGTCTCTGGCCTCTGAGAGGCGTTTGTTTCTAAAGCGGGACTCTGTCTTCCATAGGCCTCAAGAAGAGGAAGGCGAGACAGCAGGGGAGGCTCCCCGAGGTCCCCACCGCGCAGCCACCGAGCGAACGTCCCCGGTCAGTTCCCTGTCCCATCTGTCTAGTTCCTGGGAGTCGTTGCTGCCCGAGCCCCCTCATCCCGACTAGGCCCAGCTGGGGCAGGAGGCCAGGACGGGCACACACTGCCCCTGCCCCCCAGACTCCTCCAGTCAGTCTTCCTTGTTTACTCAGCTTTTCTTAATTCCTAGAATAATTCCCCTTCTCCCTTCAACCAAGGAAAGACTGACATGCCAGCCCACTGACATGACTCTCTTAGTTTGGTTTTATCTGGTCTAATAAATTTTATTATATAAATACATTACCATCTACATCAGGGGGAACAGTTTATACAGGCAGGAATGATTCCCTTGTATACGCTGTCCTTTTACCCATTTTCCCTCTAACACCATCCTTAACTCTCCCCTCTACGCCCACACACACACACACAAATATACTCACAAACGGACCATTTGGTCTTCCTGCCCTGGCCATGGCATTTGGGGCAGTGAAGTGGGCATACCCACCCTCTAGCAGGTTCCTTCCTCCTAAGCAGAGCCCCCCCCCCGCCTTTGCACCTTCCTGGCCTGAGGCTCGTGGGTCAGGGAGTTGGAGATAGAGCTAGCTCTGAGGCAAGGACAGACTTGACGGAGCCCTTCAGGAGTGAGGGAGAGCCCCAGGGCTTCTGGGTCACAGGCCTCCAATTTGTAGAAAAAGAGGATGCCTGGGGGAGGTGAGGGAGGGACGCAAACACTCCCACTGCCAGAGGCCTGGCAGATGGCTTCAGGACCTGGCCTGGAATAGGAACCAGGAGGTCTATGCAGGAAGTCTGGGAGGCTGTGATCCAGGTTTTGGGGAAATGTGCTGGGAGCAGCTGACTGAGAAGAAAGCAAGAATCCAGCATGTGCCTTGCATGGCTTTGCCACTGCATGTCCACCACCTCTCCAGGTGCCCAGGTGAGCTTGCCTGAACCTTTAGGAGTTCTTGGTGGAAATTTCTGGTACACCAGCCACCCCAGAAAAATGCACAACACTGAGCATTTCCTGTGCAGAATCCCTGTCAGGTCTATATTTCAGCCCTTCCCACCCTCTGAGACACACACACACACACACACACACACACTCACTCTCACACTCACACTCTGAGCTCCCTCTGACACCTCCAGTCGGCCAGAGGTGTCCTGAGCTGCACCAGCCCTTCATGTCCAGCAGAGGGCACTCCTGGGCTCCCACTGGTGGGTCTCTCCCAGGACTTCCCTCTGAAGATCCCATCGGCGCGTGTGGGAGTCTCTGGTGGACTTTTTCTCAGGAACAGCCTCCACTGGAAGGAGAGAGAACTCTGGGGGCTGGCATGGACTGTGGACACGGGGGCTGGGACTGTTCCTGCCACCTGCGCTTCAGCTGTGCGTCCCTGTGTGTCTGCACGGTGGTGGCCTGGGTCTACGGGTTCCTCTGTGACCACCTGCTCGATCCATCCATTGTCTGTGTCGTGTACGTCTGTGCAATGTAATTACATGTGCATCAGAGCCGCCTCCACCCACCGCCTGAATGTCGCTGGATTTGGGGGGAGTATAACCTGCTTGGACCTGAGCGTCTCTGGAAGGAGGGAGTGAGCCCACATTTGAGACCCTTCCCAGAGAGCCAGCCACCCCGCCAGATGGGGAAACTGGCCTGTGCCCGGTACCAGGAAGAAACTGGATGGCGAATCAAATGAACACCAGGCCTGAGGCCTCATGGAAACAGATTTCTTGCTGCTTCTCCTTTCCGAGCCCTTTGTTGAGTTTTCACGAGGCTCCATGGGACTCCGAGGGAGAGTGGGATACCCCATTGGTCTTTGATATGAGAAGAGAGGAGAATGGGTCACATGCAGGGTTCAAAACCTTCCCAGAAACCTCAGGCCTCTCCCAGGAAGGCCTGTCCGCTGAGCCTTCTCTCTGGGGTAGGCCTGGGTCCAGTGGCTCTCCTGCTGTCCCATGTGTGGTCTGGTGTCGGTGCTCTATAGGATAGATCTGTGCTGTGTGTGGTCTGGTGTCGGTGCCCTATAGGATAGATCCGTACGCTGTGGCTTCACATGAAACCCATCACTAGTGCATGCCGGCTTCCTGCATGGGAGTGGACCAGGCACCTGAATCCCTGAGTAGACTGCTGCACAGCACACGGTGGCCACCCTGCCAGCCCCGCCTGGTCCTCCGCTTCCCGGGTGTGTGCACGCACACATGTACGCACACGCAGGGACTGGAGTACCATTCCACGCATTCAGCGTTTCTTCAAGCACATCCATTGCCTCTATCACCTCTTACCTTTCCACATTAGAGCATGTTCTAATAAAAACAAAAAGAAAGGGAAAAAAACCCATTATACGGGTAAGTGTGTAAGAAAGAGTGCATGAGGCCAAGCAGAAGAAACAAGGTTTCACAAATGGCAAAATTCCTGGAGTGGAAGTCAGGACATTGGGTTCTAGTCCTTAATTGTAGAGACTTCGTGCATGATTTTAGGCAAACCCCCTAATCCTCCTGGGTCTCCCTGCCCTCATAAAGCTCTGTCTGTGGGATTACAGAAAGTCCAGAACATTCCTGTATGTGAACAATGCACCTAGATAAAGGGAGAGTTGGGAGAGACGGGTTTCCCCACTTTTGTCTCGTTCTCAACTCTGAGGAACCTGGTTCTGTGGTCAGGTGCCAGCTGGTGTGAGGCTGGAGATGAGAAAGAGATGGCAAGGGGCCAGGGTGTTTCCTGTTTGGGGAAGAGAGGAAGCCAGGGTTGGACCTCTGCTCCTGCCAAGGCCAGTGCCCTGAAGGTGGTCCCCGGGCAGCGGGCTGAGCCGTCCCCCTTCCTCTCACACCCCACCCTCCACCTTATGTGTCCCCCCTCCATCCTGGGTGCGGCTCTGGGGAGGGCTTGAGGGGCCTGCTAAGGGTCCTCATCTTCTAGGCTCTGAGTGCCCCAGAATCCTCAGTGTACCATTTGCGATGAGATGCTGATTGCTAAGATGCTGAGGTTGATTTCCTGGAGAAGCAGTGGTATTGCAGAGGATCCGAGTCAACCCAGGCTTAGGGGCCCCCAGCCAACGGCTGCGGAACCTCTTCTGTGCACTGTGCCTGTTTCCCGGCCGCGGGTGGGAAGGAGGCCCTGCTCTAGGAACTCTCCCAATGGGGCTGCTGTGACGACGCAAGGGATACCCCTGAGAGGGATTGGTGCTGCGAGGGGCTGTGACAAGAAAGAGTCTGCCTTCGGGGTTCCCTGTTTGGGGCAGTCGTGCCCCGTCTGCCTCCAAGCCTCAAGGCTACATTCCTCTGTGGTGCAGGGATTCTGGGGTGAGGCCGCTCCGGAGAGCAGCTGCCTGGGTGCCTGTCATTATCAGGCCTTCATCAGGTTGTCAGGGAAAACTCTTACCCAAGTGCAGCTCACAGACGTCACTCTTCCCATGACCTTCCAAGACCGCCTGCAGCTGGCTTCCCCGAGAGGACTGGGCATCTCCTTCCAGCATCTTAGAGGTTGACGTGGCTTCAGGGAAATAACCGGCACTTGAGAACCTGAGGGATGGTGCCCCGGGGCTGAGCAGGCCCTGGGTTGCAGCAGGTCACCTTTTAGCCAGTGGCTGGCTGGCTCCAGCTGCTGTCACTCCCTTGGCAACTCCCCACAGCAGCAGGCAGCCTAGGGCTCTAATCGGCGGCCAGAGGCCTGGCTCTGACGTTCTTGGAGGGAAGGGATGTGGGTGTGGAGGCAGCAGCTGTGTTTCTTCTTGCCTGAGCGAGCTTTCCCCATCCTCCCTCCACTCCCCCTGTGAGGCTGAACTGAGCTGCTGATTCAGGCGTTTTACAGTGAAGGCAAATGGTGTGTTTGCCCATAATAAGCAGACCCAGCCTGGAAAGAACGTCAGTTTTCCCGTGAACCTGGGCGTGTCTGTCTCCCCAGGATGCCTGAATCAGCGTGGCAGGGCTGTGTCTGCCTACAGTCTGGCACCGCGCCCTGGCACCCCAGGCTCCGTGGAGAAGCTGGCCCTAGGCTCTTTGTGGACATCTGTCCGCCGCTCGGTGCGCCCAGCTCTCTGTACTAGGGTCGGACGTGATCTTCCTGGTCCCGCTGCTCAAAGGCAACTCCTAAGTTCATCTTCCAATCTGTGTTTTAGAGCATCCCCGATACTGATGAACCCAGGATGGGACTCAGTTAACATCATAGGCATCTCAGAAATGAGGCGTGAAGCTGCCGACTGCTGGGCGTCAGATCTGGATGGGGGTGTCAGTGTCTTCTCTTTTGAGACTTTCTGAGTGGCTGGCTCAGAGTCACCAAGGCATCAAGCAGCCGCCAGCGCCCCCAGGGCAGGGAGCCCACACTGGTGGTGGGAATGGCAAAGACAGCTCCTGAGGAAGAGTCGTTCTCTCCCCCGGGATGGCCGTGGACCAGGTCTCCCCTCCCTGTCCAAGGGGACCCTGCACACTCCCCTCTCCTTTCCCCGTCACTTTATGTGGTGGCCTTCTGCTCTGTGTCCCCTCCTGTTGTCTTCCCTGGTTCCCAGTGGTCATCTCAGACAGACAGCTGGCCCCTGGGACACAGTGCTGAGCCCCTCCGCTGCCCATCCCACTCCTCACGAGAGCCCCTCACCATCCCTGCCACCAACCCGGTGGACCCCTCGCTGCTCCAGCCTCAGCTCCTCCCATGCTCTTTCCTCTGTTCAGCAACAACGTCTCTGTTCTCCCTTTAGGCATCTGTCTCTGTTCACCCTAAATTCCCATCTCTTCATCTGTTTGGCTGCTCTCAACTCAACCAACCATCTCTTTTTCTCCTCTTGCAAACTGTCTTCTGAACAACCTTCCCAACCTGTCTGCTGACAGCCTTCTCACCCAGAGGATGAGAGCCCAGACCTCAGACACTGGGGGAGGGAAAAAGTTCTCGGCTGCAGAAGTGGCCAGCTTCCCCCACCTCACCGTCTCACAGGGCTATTTGGTTGCCTAAGGTATTCAACAATAGATCTTGTCTGGTCTCAAGCCCCTCTTCTGGCCCTTTCCAAGGTGACCATGACACGACCACACTGCCTCAACCAATCAGCCACGTGTCTTACATAAGCCAGACGCATTCCCCTTTAGACCATGAGCCCCATCGGATAGGCTCTTTTCTCTGGAGCAATAGTCCCACCGTCTTCTCTTGCAGCAGGATTTAGTAGGAAGAGCACAGGGTTTGGGACCAGAGAGATTCGCATCCTCAGACTTCCACTCACTAGCTGTGTGACGGTGGGCTAGTTACTCATTTTCCCTGACCCTCAGTTTCCCTCATCTGTAAAACAGGGGCAGTGATACTTGCCTCGCCGAAAGGGTGTGAGGATCGAAAAAGAGAATATGGGTAGAACACCTAGTAGGTGATTGTGTTCATTTTTCCCTTCATTTTTTTCTCACTGCAGTCCTTCATCTCTTAAGAGAAACATTCTCCATATGAATTCTAACATCCATTGCCAACACCCTCCCAAACCAATCTTCCTGGAGTGCCCTTCCCTGGAAGCACCCTACATACACACTCTAGGCTCAGTCCTTATTGTGAGGTAGGCAGGTAAGACCATTGCACGGCTAAAGTCAAAATCTCTGGGGTGCATCCTCTTGCCCTCGTTCTCACTTACCAGCATTTCCTTTAGAGAGAAGCTCGCTTGTGTTTCCTTGTTTGTTGATGTGTCTGGGTTCACTGAGGATCTTCTAGAATCTCCCAAAGACCCTGTGGTCGCACCCCTGGTTATTTTTCTCCCTGGAGCTGGAGTTAGTTGTCTGTGTGCTGTCCCCCTGCGCCACCTGCTGGCTTGGCCTGGAAGTACACCTTCAACACCTTTAGTCCAGGTAAGAAATGTACCCATGCTGCCCCTCTTCCCTTCATCTTCTTGAACCTCCTCTGGGGAAGAGACATCTGCCTGCTTCCCCCCACCCAAGTCAGTTTCCTAACAAGGCAGGACCCTAAAATGTCAAGCTTACAAGACTCTGCAAATACTCTGATGTGGCCATACCCAGCCCATCAGGGGCTCAGGCCTCTCTCCCTGTTTGACTACAATCCTGTGGGATCCTAAAAGGCTCTCCTATCTGTGCCCTTTCCTCCCCTGATGTTCCCACCAGCATCCAGTGCTGCCTGTCCCCTACCCTCCTCTGACATCGTGATCCCAGCAGCCAGCGCACCCACCCACCTGTCACCCAGACCTTCAAATCAGAGAACAGAAGCTCCATGCTTATTCCAGGCCCCATCCCTGGGCCATTCTCCCTCCTTCTGTTACACCCACTTATGGTCTAAACTCTCCAGCAGCCCCAACCTGACGCCCAGAGTTTCTTCCAAGTAGCTGGATCCTCTTTTTTTCAGTGTCCCCCAGCTCCTCTGAGTGATTGCTCTAGGCTGGGTTACCTCTCAGCAGAGTAGGTGTAACCTCTGCATCTTCCTGATGACCCAAGGGCTAAAGCAGCTGGCCTTCTGCCTTATATCACGGAGGATCATCTTAGCTATCCAGGGCCTTTTGGCAGAACCTACCTGTCCCTACAGCCAACGAGTAGCCAGCATCCCCTTCTGGTGCTCTGCTGTCCACAGATCTCTCTGCCTGTCGGGCAAGGCACAATCTCTATCAGAGCATGGTATGGTTCCAGGGGCAGCAGAACTGCCCCTCAACCCCCAGCTCTCTTAGAAGATGGTGCAAAGCATATTCACCCCTGGGGCCTATAAAAGGAGGGCCCAAACCACGCCCCCATCTTTCTCCTGTGTGTCCCTTCCCCTAACCCAGGAGAGAGAGAAGCCCTGCCAGCCCTGGGCCTGGGAGGAGCAGCTGCCACCAGACCCCTCCACCTCCCACCCTCATTCTCGACTCCTTCTCCTCAGGCCTTGGCCTTCAGGGGAGAGGGGAGAGGGGAGAGGGTGTGTTTTAAATTTTCTCCACATGAACAGTCAAGAGAGCAGAAGAAATCTTTGCATACATTGGAAAACCCCCATTTCCCAAAGCCCACCCATGACCTGGCCATTTAACTTTTGGTCACACTGGCCGTGGCCTCTGACTGGCCCTGCCAGGGAACATAGGTCAGGCATCCATTAGGAAGAAACAGAAGAAAGGTGAGATTAAATTGGGAGGCAGTCCTGGAAAAATCATCTCTATTTTCAGAGGAGAGTTCCCGAAAGGAAGGAGCATGGAAATGAAAAGTATAGGAAGAAAATATGGACAAACAGGGCTCTAGTAAAACCAGTCCCAGGAGGGAAGAGGCTGGGTGAGAGGGGTGAACATGGTTGTGAGGGTCTGCTGGGTTTTCCTCCCAGCATCTGCCACACATCTTCCCTGAGGCCCCCAGAGCAGGTGTGGGGACGGCCTGGCCCATCACCAGGAGGAACAGCACAGCCAGCTGGAGAGAGAGAGGATGAAAGGCTTCACTACCTCCCCAACAGTTATGCCCAAGTCAGAGGGTTGGCCTGACTGGGTCCATAGAAGGACCCCAAACGCAGGCTCCCAAATCCAACCCTGCCACTCCTGCCCTTCCTCCCTGCTGGAGGAGGATCCAGGCAGGGCTTTAGAGCCTTCAGATCCTTGTGGTCAATTCTGGCTCATTGCTGACACTCAAAGATATAAATACTGCCAGATGCATAAAGATGGGCATGGCCCAGCCACAACTCAAGGGATTCTAAGACAGGAAAAGATGAGATCCCTACAGATGTGGTAAAAACTCAGGCCTGTCCAATTGTGGAGTGCATGCTCTTAATTGCCTCTGGTATCTATTAGCTGTGTGACCTTGGGGAAGTCACTTAACCTCTCTGAGTACTGGTTTTCTCATAGATTGAAGGTGTTAGACTAGGGTAGTGTTTTCAAACTTTTCCAGCCATATTATCCTTTCTTTTGGGGTTCTTAGGGAACACCAACCTGTTTATTGAACAGCCCTTATTTGATGGGATACAGCCATGACCAGCTTTACCTTTCTTCCAACCACTGCCTTCAGACATCTCCGTTGAGCCTCCGCTTCCCATTCCTTAGTGCCAGCTCAGGCAGACCTTGGTCACTTTTAGCTGTTAAAAAGTCTAACCAGTCTGTTTCAGTTTGAAGCTTCAATCTGATGTCCAGTATGGTGCCCATATCTCTCATTCTCCATTTCTCTATTTCGGCTTCGACCCAAGGTCTGAAGGACCCACGATGGGGAGCACAGGGTCTGCTGTTTCCTGGCTCCTCCCCAACACTCTCCCCTGGGTCTCCGTCTTCAGCTGGGACAGGGAGTAGAAAAGGGGGCAGTGTCTCTTTACTGCCTGGGTTGGCTCTGGTCCTCTTGGGCTGTCAGTGCCCTTGGTCCTTCAGGTGTCCAAATACCACCTGCTTGGGGCCTACAAGACCCTTCCCAATTGGTGCTGTAAGGTCTCTAGCAGTCAGGCCTTTGAGACAGGGTTCTGGCCAGATGTCTCAAGCTAGGGTGGCCTTCCTTGGTGCTGGGCACATAGGAGACCCGCCCATTCTTGCCCCAGCCGGCATTCTTGTGCTGCACTCGGAGGCTGGCTGCCCCTTGCTGCCGCAATCTGTCCTGCCCTCTCTCCGGGTGCAGTGGCACAAAGGCCTCTGCATAAGGGTGTACCCAGCTGGGGAATAAGAGGTCTGCTTCCCCTTCTCATGCGCACCTGACATACCAGCACGTGGCTCCACTGGAGGCCCCTCACTTGGCTTGGGCAGGGGCTGGGAGGATCCTGTCCTCTACGGGGAGGAGCAGGGAGGTAAAAGCCGCGGACTTTCCCTGGAGCAGTGACTCCTTAGGTGGTGATTCTCTACCCCTGCAGCACATTCGAGTGCATGAAAGGCTGATTAAGAAATTCCAGTGTGCTGACCCCACTCCAGGCTAGTTAACTCAGCATCCTGAGGATGGGTCCCGGCATCCTTTGTTAACGCTCCCGAGGTGATTGTAAAAGGCAGCCAGGGTTAGGAGCCACTGCCCTACTCCAACGAATCCCCACCAAATGACGGAGGCAGGACCTGGGGAGCAGGTCACGGCCCTGCACCATGACCCGGGAAGGTCTGGGTCTCCCTTTAGAAGGTGGTGGCAGAGGCTTAGGGCCTGGTGCCCTTAGCTTTGGGGTTTTAGACACAAGTGGAAAGTAACAGAAGGGTTCCCATACAACATCCTACCACAAATGTTCTTCTGTCCTGTCTTAGCAGCAGAACCCTTTCTTCATTTGAAGTCTTGCCAGAGCCCCATGGATGACTCAGTAGGAGCTGGAGTATCTGTCTGAAGCAGGGGTGGGCCCTGGAGCCGGGCAGCATCGGAAACCCCCCGGATGAGCCCCTTCAGCTCACTCTAAGAACCTTCTGTTCCTATGTTAGATTGGAGAGGGGGAGAGTGAGAATGGAGCCAGAGACATGGGCACAGGCTAGGGAAGCAGGCCAGGTGGAAACCCACAGCAGGTTGAGGGAGGGCCAGGGTGGGCCAGGAAGGGCACAGGAGAGAGGAACCAGACTCAGGTGGGGCCTGCTGACCTCCCAGTTCTGCCGAGAGTAGCCACCCCTGGCTCTGAACCCCCAGCAAGGTGTGCTCCTCCCATATGCCCCTGAGCAGGGGGAAGAAGAGAGGCAGTGGCCCCAGGACCTGCAGCCGCCACTGCCGCCAGGGCCGCACAAGGAAGGGCAGGAGGAGAAATCCAGCACAGATGAGAGGCCCACCACAGAGCCCCTCTTTAAGGTCCTGGACACGCCTCTGAGCGAGGGTGAAGAGCCTACAACGCTGCCGGCCCAGGTGGACCACGGGCACAGCGTGCAGATGGAGGGCTACTTGGGCCGCAAGCACGACCTGGAGGGGCCCAACAAGAAGGCGTCCAACAGGTGTGTGGGGGAGGGCCGTGGGGTAGGAGGGGTGGGCAGCTCCCAGGGACTTTGAGAGCAACATGGGTATGCTTGTGGGCGAGGGTGCCCTCTGCCTCTAGTCTGAGAGCTCCTGGGCATTCTCTAGGACAGCCCGGGGGCTGCTTGGCATGATGGGAAAAGCCTGTCTTCCGTTGTGGTCCTGAGTTCAAATCCTATGACCTGGTACTAGTTGCTCAGCCTCTCACTTGTAAAATGGGGATGACGGGGGCAGCCTGCCTCTTCAGTGCAGATGCCATGCCTGGCGCAGAGCAGGAACTCGGTGAACGCTAGCTGTTATTATCCCAGGGCGGGGTAACAGGTAGGCCTTAGCACTAACAACACATCCTTGACCAAGTCCCACTTTTTACCCAATCTGGGCCCCAGTTTCCCCAGCTATAAAATAGGAGAGGAGAAAGAGTTGCTATGGTCCCTCCTAGCAACCATATGACTCTGAGGAATTCATTCAGAGGCTGTGTCGTTTCCTGACCCTGAGGCAGTCATGTCCTTGGGTGTGGTCTACCCAGGGATGCCTAGACCCAAAGTCTCTGGAGGCTCCTGCCTTCAGGTAGCAGTCCAGGGTCCCAGAGAAACAAGGCAGCATCAAGAGGTTGAAGCCAGCCACATTCCCAGGGCCCACTGGCAGCATACAGAGAGAGCCTAACCTGGGGGACATGCCAAAGTTAATTCAAATTCCAAAAATCAATTGGGGGGCCCAGCCAACATGAAGAGGTTTATTGCTTATATGGAAAGCCTGCCGGGAAAGGGAAACTAGCATTTATAAAGTACCTACTGTGTGCCAGGCATTATGTTAGGACTGATAATAGCTTCTCAAACCTCCTATGATATTGTAGTTTCCATTCTCCAGATGGAGAAACAATCTCAGAGAGGTTAAATCATTTGTCCATTTACTCCAAGACCAGCTCCACCTTTGCAACTGCCTTACTTGGGCTACAAGCTCAGAGAAGGTGGTGAGGGCCAGAGGAAAGATCCCTGAGCTGGCGTCAGAAATCTGGGCTTTGTGGAATGGCTCTGCAGCCAGCTTTGTACAGGTCAGGTTCTCTCTTTGACCTTCCAGTCTTTCCTCCCTACGTGCCCTGCTAGTTCTCCACTTTTCTGCCCTCAAAAGGGAGGGAGGAGGAAAGGAGGAAGAGGAGGAAGAAAAGCTTAATGTTTCTCAGTACTCATTACTGTGAAAGGGCAACATGTTCCCCATTTGTCAGGGAAGGAGCTCAGGTGAGCCCACACATGAGCCCATGAGCCTGCTGTTCTCACCAAACATTTCAGCTGAGATGAGCCTTGATTTACACCAATACATTTCTTTAAAAAGTGCTAGTACAGGGCTTCCCTGGTGGCGCAGTGGTTGAGAGTCCGCCTGCCGATGCAGGGGACACGGGTTTGTGCCCTGGTCCGGGAAGATCCCACATGCCGCGGAGCGGCTGGGCCTGTGAGCCATGGCCGCTGAGCCTGCGCGTCCGGAGCCTGTGCTCCACAACGGGAGAGACCACAACAGTGAGAGGCCCACGTACCAAAAAAAAAAAAAAAAATAAGTGCTAGTACAGTATACCAGGCATATATCATCAACAAAACAAAAATATCACTACCAGCAAAACAAAACCCTGCTCTGTTCACGTTACAGTTCTGTAGTGAGACTCAAATATGCTGGTGGCTATGGAAATGCTTTGAAAAGTTGTTTATACTATTGGTCTTAGACTCAATAATTCTACTTCTAAAAATATATCTCAAGGTAAGATCAGAGTTACAGGCAAGGATGTTTATCATACTGCTATTTAAATCGTGGATAAAATTTCCAGTGTTAAAAGGTCCATCAATAAAGGGATTATTTATATATGTGATAGGATACCATATAACTATTCAAAATTATTTTCAAGAAATATTTGAGAATTCAAATATTTGAGGATGGGGAAATACTCATGATATAGTGTTAAACTTAAAAGCAGGACATAAAATTGAATATACAGTATAATCCAATTTTAGCTATATATGTGAACAGAAAAAAGACTAGAAGGAAATACATCAAATGTTAACAATAGTTAACTTTTGGTAGTGGAATTATGTGCAGATGATTTTTATTTGCAGTTTTTTAAACAGTAAAATGTATTACTATTGATCAGGGTAAAATTGGTATAATTCAGAAAAATGGTAAAGCTATGGGAACTGATTATAGAGATGCCGTATCAGGACTGTAGGTGACCTGCCTCTCTGTACCCTCACAGGTCCTGGAACAACCTGTACTGTGTGCTCAGGAATAGCGAGCTGACTTTCTACAAGGATGCCAAGAACCTGGCCCTGGGGGTGCCCTACCATGGGGAGGAGCCCCTGGCCCTGAGACATGCCATCTGTGAGATTGCTGCCAGCTACAAGAAGAAGAAGCACGTCTTCAAGCTGAGGTGAGGCCCCGCCTGTCCACTACCCCTTCCCTGGTTTGGCAATAAGTGGCTGGACAGGGGTCCACTCTTTGGGACCAGCTTCAGACCTGAGCTGCCCTTCAGGGATTTTTCAAATCAGAGGCTGGTGGTCCTGATTTTTGCCTCTCTCAGAAGGTGCTGTGCTGCCTGACAGGGTTCTGGTCACGGGAAAGCTCAGGGGGGCTGGGGGATCAGATACAGAGGTGGCCACGCAGGAAACCCTCTGTCCTCCTAGGCTGAGCAATGGCAGCGAGTGGCTTTTCCACGGCAAGGATGAGGTAAGTGCAGGGCTGCCTAGCCCAGACCCCCACCAACAAAGGGGCAGGTGGAAGGGACGCATGCCACTTGACCTGCTCACTCAGGAGGGGTTGTCCTAGAGGCACCCCGTCCTTTGCGGGGCCCTGACCCTCCTGCCCTGTAGGAGGAGATGCTGTCCTGGCTGCAGGGCGTGAGCACCGCCATCAACGAGTCCCAGAGCATCCGTGTCAAGGCACAGAGCCTGCCCCTACCCTCCATCACCGGCCCCGACGCCAGCCTCGGCAAGAAAGACAAGGAGAAGAGATTCAGCTTCTTCCCCAAAAAGAAGTAGCCTCTCGGGCACCCCGCGGGTGAAGCCAGTGCGTCGGGACTAGCGACGAGCGGGGACGAGCGCTTCCCTCCTCGGCCGGGTCTTCCTGCTGCCCACGGCCTGGCCGCCGCTGCCTGCCGCCTGCCTGCCCCGAGTCGCCGGCCGGGCCCCAGGCCCCGGGCCCCAGGCCCCGGGCCCCGCTGCACTGCAATAGCTGCCTTCGCGCCACCGCCCGGCCCGGCCCGGCCCACGCCTGCCTCCGCGCCCTCTGCCCGCAGCCCCGGCGCCCCGCACACGGCGAGCGCGGGCTCCAGGGAAGGAGCTCCCAGCTCCTCCGGCCCTCGGGGCCTCCAGGGCTGGGGTCAGGAGACGGTTTTCGAGGCCCACGCCCTCCTCTCCCCGCCCCCCTCCCGGGCTGAGGGGCGCCAGCCCGTCCCCCCCTCAAACATAAGCTGGAGAAGAAGGCTGATGGGGTTCCTCAGACGCTGCCCACTCCCAAAGCAAGTCTGGCTTGGGGTCACCTCCTGCTAAGTCGCAGCCAGGGAAAGGGAAAGGGAAGAGGACCCCGGAAATGCCCGACCTGCCCCTGAGGGGCGTGAGGAAGGAGGCTTCAGGTAGCTCTGGGCCAGGGGCTACTGGGGACTGACGGGACACGACGGCTTCCTCCCCGCTGGGCTTCCTCAGAATGGGGACTCTCACCTCAGGGGCCACTGCATCCCCTCCTCGCTCTTCCTCCCACCGAAAGTGGGAGGCATCCTGCAAGATCGATGGGTCCTAAGTGCAAAGGGGCTCCCGCGGCCTCCGGCACCCCTTGCTGCCACCCCCGATGGTGGCAGGGAGGACCAGGAAGCTCTCAAGCCAGCCCTCTTTTAAAACTACAGTTGCCGTTTAGGGCTCAGCCCAGAAGGAGGTAGACAGGTCTCCACACTGCCTAAGGCGCTGCCTCTCCACCCTGGGGTCCTCCTGCACTCCCAGCAGCATCCCACTCGGACCCAGGGCCCTTACGGGAGACAGCACAGGGCCCCAGGCACAGGATGGACACCACAATGCCTGGAGTAGATATCCCAAAGCCAAATACCCCGTGTGTTCCGTCTGCAGCTGGTACCACCTGAGCGTGCTGGCTGGACCGACAGCAAATTTCATGACCCGTCACCCCGGGGTGGCAAATGTGGCCACACCTGGGTATTTATTACGACCCACGTTAACAACCCCAGATGGCTGGGACAAATGCTGAGGCCAAAGCCATTAAGGTGTGGCGGGCACCCTTGCTTAGCTCCTCTGGAAGGTCCTGGCCTTGAGTCAGGGGGCCACATGGGTATCTACCCCACAATCCCAAGCACAGACAAAAGGGGCCCTGCAACCTCTATCCCCAGGGATAGCTTTCCCTGTGCTGCTGAGGTCAGACTTCCAGACGGAAGAGACCACTAGTTCCACAGGGATTTTTCTCCGCCACTCTCTGAAAGCAATACAGCTCCAGCCCAGCATCTTAACTGGGGTTAGGTCCAAAAGAGGGGTTGAGTTGCAGGCAGCAGGCATCTCCCTTGGGTAGACCAGAAAGGTCCCTGGGGCCAGCAGTTGCTGTTTCCATCACCTTCCCCATGGGAAGGAGCCTTAGACACACTGAGATGATCCCCCGGAAGCGGGTGAATTTCAGGCAGAAATCACAGGCATAGGCATCCGGAGTCACTAGGTCTTCCCAGGAGCCCTTAGTGCCCGAGATCAATACCACCATGTCAAGGGAAGGCGATTTCAGCAGACGAGAACCACAGGAGGGACGTTCTCTGCTGGAGCCTGACAGGTGGTCCCACCTCTGGAGCCAGGGTCTTCATTGGGCCTCTATGCACCTAACCCTATGGCCCTCTGTGCATCCACAGGGGACCTAATCTATACCACCCACCAGCCTCCTTCTATACCTAGGGAAACCAAGGCAGGAGGCAGTGAGGTGATGACACTCACCTGGCAATAAAGAAGGCCTCTGGTGCATCTGAGGGCATGTTCTGCTCCAGGGCAGATAGCGGCAAGAGTCTCCCTCAACTGTTCCCATGGGCCAGTCTTCAGGGCGCCAAGAGACGAGGGGCCACCCTCTCCCCTCCACGTGTGCCAAAGCAGCACCTGAAGTGAAGAATTTCAGCAAGCAACTCCACAGTCCCAAGAATGAAAGGGCCTTGAGGAAAAGCTAGGATTTCACCACCCCTGGGCCCCCAGACTGGGCAAGGGCAGCAGCCGGCTGCACGTGACCCACCATCTACTGCCAGCTCCCCATGCATCCCTCCCCCCACATCACACAGGCCCCGAGACATGCAACTCACCGACTAAGACTGCAGGGGCCCAGCTCTGGGACTCTGTGCCACATGGGGGGCTAAGCTCCTGGTGCCCTGGCAAGGTTTCTTTTTTCCCTCCTTACATTTTCTATTTTGTAGTTCTTTTTTTTTTTTTGCGGTACGCGGGCCTCTCACCGTTGTGGCCTCTCCCGTTGCGGAGCACAGGCTCTGGACGCGCAGGCTCAGCGGCCATGGCTCACGGGCCCAGCCGCTCCGCGGCATGTGGGTGGGATCTTCCCGGACCGGGGCACGAACCCGTGTCCCCTGCATCGGCAGGCGGACTCTCAACCACTGCGCCACCAGGGAAGCCCTGTAGTTCTTTTCTTTAACAGTATCCCCAAACAGCTCCAGTCTACACCAGCAAACCAGGATTCCTCCCCAGGGCAGTTTAGAGGAAGCTCCTTCTGGGCATGGTCAGGTGATCCTCCTTCCCTCTCTCCTTCCCCTTTGTCCCCTGGCCTCAACTGACTGTGGCTGAGGGAGGTAAGGAGGGTCCTCGAGCTTCCTCCCCTCCACTAGCACCCATAACAGGAGGTCTGGGGCGGGGGCGGGCGGGGGGGGGAGGGCTCGGCTTCCCCGCCACCCCACTCCTTCTTCCTGCCTATCGGAGAGCAAAGAGAGTCCCCGAGGCTGGCCCTGGATCGCCCTCCTCCCTTCAGTAGGAGGGGGCAGAGATCCAGAGGACCCCATGGCTCGGTCCCTTGGACAAGTAAGCTCAGGGAGGATGCAAGGGAGGAGGTGGCTGCAGAGGACTGCCACCCTGCTGGGCACAGACCACGCAATCTGGGGCTGGTCCTGGGGCCGGCTGGGCCTTGTCCTCCACCTGCTCAAATGTGCTTCCACCAACCAGAGAAAACCCATTTACTAGTTTTTCTAATAAATCAATGATGCTCCGTATTTCCGTTTCTTATTTGACTCACCTATTTCCCTTTGAACTGGACCAAAGGGGGCTGGTGGATTGAGCAAGGCAGAATCTGTGAACACAGGACCGCCGTGGAGACAAGAGGCACAGCCAGACCCTGACCCGTCCTTGGAGTCTTATGGGAACAACTCTGCTGGCACCTAGGTTCTGTGCTTCACTTGAGACCCTGAGAAAAGCTTGAGGGCCTGCTGCAGGCCTTTCCCCATGGAGCTCAGGACAGAGGTCTGAAAATCAGAATCCACACACCTGGGGTTCATCTCCGGAGGCGCAGTTTCAATTGGTCTGGGTGGGTGAAACCTAGACATCAGCATTTTTCAAAAAGTACCCTCCCCTGATGATTCCAGTGGGCAGCCAGTAAGAACCACTGAGCTGGTCCAGGGTTCCCAGGTATAACTTAGAGGGCTGTGTAAGGATCACCTGGGGAAGGTGCTGACGACTACTCCCTAGGCCTCACCTCCTGAAGAGTGTGAGTCAGAGGGTTTGAGAAGCAACAACTCATCCATCTTGTTTAATTTACAGAGGAGGAAAAAGCATGAGTTGAGGTGACCCGGCTAGTTAAACGCAGGGCTGGATCTCCTGACTCTCACCCTAGTGTGTGGCTACTCACCACAGTCAGAGACTTGTCTAGTAGAAGCAGCTCTCTCAGCGGCTGTGCAAGTACCCACAGACCATTGTGACCAGCTGGCAGGACATGGGCCAGCCCTGCTCTGCTTCTGCTCAGGAAAGGCCTCCACTTGCCTCTGATATTCCCTTGACCTCATTAGACTCAGCAGACCCATCTTCAGGCTGAGTCCGTCCTCCTAGGTCAGAAGACCTGCAAGACAGCTCTACCACCTGGCCCTGCAGCCCCACTCCTCCCAGGCCCCAGCCAGAAGAAACAGGGTGAAACAAGGCTGGTCCACCAAGGGAAAAAAAGGCAGAAAACCCAGTCAGAAGTAGGGGGCATACCTACGCCTTTTGAATCAAAGACACTTTTGAGAATAAGATGAAGAATGAGGCTCCATTCCAGAAAAAATGCATCTGTACCCCTCACCCAATACTGCCAGCCACTTAAGATATTTCTAGGCTCCAAGTTGAGAATCCTTGCCCCCTAGGATGTCTCCTGGGAACTAGCAAGGGAGAGAAGAATAAAAGGCACCAGATGTGGAAATACCTGCCTGTTAGAAAATTGTTCCACCCCCACCCCACCCCTTTCAGTCCAACTTTGGCACCTGGGGAAAAGAGCTAAAGGCTGGCACGGTGCCCCCTGACCTTACCCCAGACAGGACGCCAGGCTGTGGGTAGACAGAAGCCCGTGGGAACAGAAGCAGCAGAACAAGTCCCCTCCCACACATCCTCTTGCCCCAGCCTCTCCCGCCAGCACCTGGGGCCTTGTGCTTGGTGAGCACCTGTGGAAGCAACACGCCCACGTCCCGCTTCCCCTGAGACAGGCCTGGGCACGATCGCCTCTCCCCAGCCCGGCCAGACACCAGTAAGGAGACCACTCAACAGGTTGGTTGGTCAGCAGTGGTTACTACACCATTGGCAAATAACAAAATGTGTGTACATTAGTGACAACCACGGGGCCAGCGAGACAACCCACAGAAGTACCTGAACAGAGTCCACGACATTCTTCCCAGGAGGGAAATCAACAACAGAACACACACTCACACACACACGCGCGAGCACACCAACATACCACAGGGTAGAAAGCAATAAATTATGGGCCTCATTCCTGCCCGGATCCTAAGAAAAGGCACAGTTAAAGAACAAAGCCTCCCCAGGCCACACTCCTGTGTGTCCCCCGGAGCGGCCCTCAGTCTGGCAGCGGCCAGGCAACACTGGAGGCCTGAGCAGGGCTCGCTCTCCCTGGGAAGAGATGAGCTTAACTATCTGGCCTCTTACTAGAGAAGAACTATATACAAGGGAAGCGGCCACACTGGCCTCGGAGGGCAAAGGGGCTCGCGAGTCACTGGCGCGCCCACGGCAGGCGACAGGCCCTTGCCCGGTGCCCCAGGGCGCTCTCCCAGGGGCAGCCTTTCTGAGGGCCCCAGGCTGTGAGCGAGGATGCCACCGTTCTTCCCCGTCCCTCGGCACAGCTGCTCCCTCCCCCAGGACTCAGTGTCAACCTGTGGAGTTCAAGGCCTGGAATTTCTCCCGCAGGCTCCTCACTCTGCCCTGCTGGCTTGGGTCCGCCAGGTCCCTGGGACCCTCTTCTTTAGGCCGATACTCTGCACACTCCTGGAACGCCGGGCCCTGCCCCGCCTGGGCTGCTGGTGAGCTCGGTCCCTGCCCGCTGGCTGCCTCCAGTCCCGCGTTGGGGCCGGACAGGGGCCCCTTCTCCATGATGACCATCCGCCGGCTGTCCTCCAGTGTGAGGTCTGCGGTGACGTACAGGGCCTCCCCTCCGTCCGGCGCACTTGGGGATGACCCCGCCAGAGGCTGAGGCTGGGCGACCCCTGGGCCTGCCGGAGCCCTCCTGGCGTTCAGGCTGCAGCAGCGGCCCACCTTCCCCGACAGGGGCGGCTGCGGCTGCATCATGTTCTCCGGCAGCGAGTGGCTCCGGTTGACGGGCAGGTTGCGCGGCCGGCTGCCCTTGGCCTGGAGCGCCTCGTCCTGGGAGGCATATTTGGAGCAGAGCTCTCGGACGTCGGGCCAGTTGAAAGTCTCGGTGTCCAAGGGGCTGAGGGGGCTTCGGGGGATGTGCCAGGCCCCAGGCGAGGTGGTCCTCGGGCTGGTGGCCAAGGAGCTGAAGGAGAAACGCCGTGGCGATACCTCCCTGGCAGAGCCGGACTTGGGTGGGCTGTGTTCCTGGGCCGTGGGCTGCTCGTGGTTGAAGAGAGACAGCACCGGTTTCCTCTTACCTGTGAGGAGACAGCGAGCCGCCTGAACCCCTGTGCAGGAGGGAGCAAGAGGACATGAGGGCTCTGGACTGACCTCAACTCCCCTTCCAGGCGAGGCTGGTTGCTGGGGGTTTGCGTGTGATGGGAGAGAAACCTCACTGACCATCCACGGCGCCCTTACCAAAGGGAAATGGGAAGAATGAAGAAAAGGGGGTGGGGTGGGGTCAGGGGGTCAAAGGAACAGACGAGAGCTTCTGCTCTCCTGGAAAACAGAGGCCCATGGCCACAGGCCCTCTGCTCCACAGGAGGAGCTTGGCCTTGAGCGTTAGACCCGCTCCAGGACTCGCCCCAGCCCTCTTTTTGGTAGAGGTCCTTTAGGGGGTCACTTTCCCAGAATCCAGCTGGCTCCTAAAAGGTGCTTCCATCCCAGGCTTGCAGGCAGGGCCCTCCGCCCCACCCCCTTCATACCTCTGCCAGCAGATGGTGCTCCAGCCTCCGGCTGCAGGTAGGGGGTGGTGGCAGCCACCTTTTCCCACGGCTGCGGTGGCCTGGCCGTCGCCGACTTGCTCTTGATCCGGAGGCTGTACTGGCGAGCCAGCTGGTAGACCCTGCTCTTGACTTGCTCGCTCACGTGGCTGTCCATCACATGGGAGAGCTGCAGGATGCGGGGGTGTAGTGGGGTCACCAGCTCCCCCTGGGTGCCGCTGCTCAGCTCCTTCACCAGCTCCTTCAGCTCCCGGGCCAGGTGGGCCGGGCTGGGAGGCTCAGTGGGGGAGGCACGCTCCGGCGAGGCAGCAGCCGACTCCTCAGTGATGGCCCCCAGCTCACGCTCCTCCAGGATGAAGAGGGGCTCATGCAGGTCAAAGCTATTGGCCTGGCCTTGGCCTGGTCCCTTCCCAGGGCTGCCCTCAGGAGACTCCACTTCCTCCCAGATCTTCACAATTTCCGAAGACGGGCGGAACTCAGCATCTGTGATGGGAGCTGGGTCCCCAGCATGAGCCTGGCCTGGTCCTGGGTAGTCAAAGAGGGCCCACGAGGCTGCCCGCGAACCCACCTGTCTCTTATGCCCCAGCGGAGCCACTGGCTCCGGGTCTGGCCTGGGAAGGCTGTTGATTCTGGAGACTGAGTTTCTCACCAGTCCTTTGGGGATGAAGGAGAGGCTCTCCCGGCGCCGGACACTGAAGCCTGCGTCGTGGTGCTCTGCACTTTCATAGTAGCTCTTGATTTTGTCCAACAACAGCCGGTCTCGGGAAGAAAGCTTCGATTCCTTCGTGCAGGAAGGCCTGTCTGGCTCCGCTGGGCAGCCTGGGCTCTGGGTCTCTGTCCCGCTGACAGAAGGGTCACTCTCTGCGGCCACCCCCACACTGATGTCCGCTTCTGGAGGGAGCTGAAAGCCCAGGGGGTCTGTGGTGCTCCCACGTCGGGCCAGGCCCTTCTCACTGTCCTCTAGGCTGACCACACTGCTGCTCCGGCTGGTCAGCCTCGGGGTCCCAAAGCCGCTGGCCTTGCCGTCCTCCAGCGCCAGGCTGCTCCGCCGAGAGAAGCTGCTGACGAACCGCTCGGCGATGACGCTGGCCTGGTCCAGCACAGAGGGAGGCAGGAGGCTCTCGGGTTCGTGGGCGGCCCCCACCTCCTCCTCCTCGTCCTCACTGCTCAGGACCTTAGGGTCCTCGGTGCTGTCGGCCACCATGAAGTCCACCACGTCACCCGGGGGGTCCAGTCCCAGCAGCAGCTGGTGGGTGTCAAGCTGCATTTCTAGGACTTCTGGAGCCTCTGTGTCTGAGGGCATCTCCTCGGTCCTGGGACCTTCCATGGCAGCAGACTCCTCCTGCTCTGTCCCAGACTCAGGGTCTGGCTCAACCTGGGAGAGCACAAAGAGCTCATATGAGCCAAAAACCTCCGTCATGTGAGCCGGGGGGATGTGGGGACAGCACAGCCTGCTCAAAGCCTAGTGAGAGGGGCTGCGGTTTAGGACTGCAGGCCATCAGAATGAGCATGACTCAGGAGTGGGCAGCAGGTCCTTAGGGAGAGGATGTCCCTTAGTCACCCTGCAGCTGGGGTGCTGGGCCCACATTCTCAAACCCGAGAAAAATTCTAGGAACGCAGATGGGGTGACGCGGTGGCACCTCTCAGTGGCGGCCTGCCTGGAAAGCACACGGACACGGTGGGAACGTGCAGCGTGGGGCCAGAGCCACGGCACCAGGACTCCCCTGCCTGAGGGGAGGCGGCTCCCTGAAGCCCCAGTAGCTCCCCACATGGGGGTTGTTCCGGGTTGAAACCCAGGCCTAAACAACTTCCCTGAGGGGCCAGGGTCTCCCGTGTGGATCAGGATCCAGAGGGCAGTAGGACCACGTGCTGGAATCCTGTCAGAGGGTAAAGACGGGGATGTGGCTCCTGCCAGCCAGCCTCCGCCCCCATGCAGGACTCTGCATGTGCGCAGCGGATGGCAAGGAAGGAAGCAAAGTTGGCAGCTCTCTCTTGATCACCTTGAAGGTCATCTGAATCATAAAACCAGCCAGTACAGGCAGCTTTCCAGAGGAATCTTTAAGGAGAACACAGGATAACACGCTATAGCCCGAGGAATCAGACCCGATTCCAATCGTTCTAGTCTAGAACCTGCACAGTGGGACCCAGGAGCCAGGTCTGTAATGTCCAACACAATGGCTGCCAGCCACACGTGACTCCTGAGCAACTGAAATGTAGCCGGTCCACGCTGCAAAAACCTCATACCAAAAAAGCGCAGCATACCTCATTAACAGCTTTTTAACACACTACATGTTGACATGATAGTAGTTTGGAAAAACTGGGTTAAATAATTCTTTAATGTGACTATTAGAATATTTAAAATTACCTATGAGGGGACTTCCCTGGTGGCGCAGTGGTTAGGAATCTGCCTGCCAATGCAGGGAACATGGGTTCCAGCCCTGGTCCAGGAAGATCCCACATGCTGCGGGGCAACTAAGCCCGTGGGCCACAACTACTGAGCCTGCGCTCTAGAGCCCGGGAGCCACAACTACTGAAGCCTGCGTACCTAGAGCCCGTGCTCTGCAACAAGAGAAGCCACCGCTATGAGAGGCCCACGCACCGCAACGAAGAGTAGCCCCTGCTCGCCACAACTAGAGAAAGCCCGCACGCAGCAACGAAGACCCAACGCAGCCAAAATAAATAAATAAATTTTTAAAATAAATAAATAATTTATAAATAAATAAAATTACACGAGGCTCACATTCTATTGTCACCGGACAGCACCATTCTGAACTCTTTTCCAATGTCACCCAGGCTTCTCAATGTCCTGGCTGTGAGGCCCACCCCGGCGTCTAAGCCTCATGAACTTTTCCTTGGAACTCTGCGAGAGCAAAGAACTCCATTCCACATAACCCCCAGATAGCGTGGGGTGGCGGGAAAAAAGGGTGCAGGCTTCTGGGTCACAGACCCAAGTCTAATCTGAGCTCTGTCCCTTAGAAGCTGCGCAATGCCAGGCACGTCAACCTAACCTGAGTCTTGTTCTCCCTGGTAGAGCTGGCTCAGGAAACAGAAGGAAGAAACAAAACATCAGGCACGTAGGAGGTGCCCAGTAGATATCGACACCTTACTCCTTTGCCAGGTGGGACAGGCATGATTTAAGTGTCTGGCACACTAGCAGGGCAGAGCTTTATGCTCTATGCAAGGAGGCCTGGCCAAGGGGACCTATAATCTGGTCACTTCCAATAACTGTGCCCCTTGGCCAGAGACTGCATCTGCCCAAAGGAAGAGGCACCTTTTCTAATTCAGAGTAAGAGGCTGTCGGTCACCAAGCCGCATGCCCACAGGCCAGACAGGCTTCCTGAGGGCCCGAGAGTCCTAGGGAGTGGGATTCCCTGTCCCTGTGGGCCCAACGGGACAGCCCATGCCTGAAAGCCCCATCTGCAGAGCTGGAGATCTGGGCTCAGGCGCCTCTGCACTATCCCCCTCCCGCCTGCTGGCCCCTCACCTCCGGCAGGGAAGACACAGACTCAAAGCTCAGGCACTTCTCAGCGGTGGTTGGAGATCGGCTGCTGGGCCTTCGGCAGCTCTTGGGGTCTTCGGGCTCCCTGTGCCCCTTCCCCTGCAGCAAGCAGAGGGTAGTCGTCAGCTCCCAGGACAACGGGGAGCTGGTCCCTCCTGCATCCCAACCCTGGCAGCATCTCCTGAGCCCCAAAGGGGCTGGGCTGTGTTGGACCTGAGCCATTCCAGAGTCAGCCTGAACTGCCAGGTCTGGGGACTCAGAAATCCCTGCCAGGGGCTTCCCTGGTGGCGCAGTGGTTGGGAGTCTGCCTGCCGATGCAGGGGACACGGGTTCATGCCCCGGTCCGGGAAGATCCCACATGCCGCGGAGCAGCTGGGCCCGTGAGCCATGGCCGCGGAGCCTGCGCGTCCGGAGCCTGTGCTCCGCAACGGGAGAGGCCACAGCAGTGAGAGGCCTGCGTACCGCCAAAAAAAAAAAAAAAAGAAATCCCTGCCAGGCATGCGGCTCCCTGTGTGCTGGCCTCTCCCCCTCCCCCCACCGCGCCCCATTAGTCATGCCCATTGAGTAGCATGCTGGTTAGCACCCAGTGCTGGAACAACGAATGCCAGGGGCTCACCAGGGCGTGACAGTGAGCAAGGTGTTAAGAAGTGCTGATGGCAGGAAGGAAGGAACAAGGACGGAGGGATGAGAAGGGCAGGGGAGGGGACTCTTGGACGGGCATGCGCGTGCCAGGGGGCATGCAAGGAGGAGGGGGAGATCGAAGAGACACCTCACCATAGCGCCCCGGGAGAAAAGTAAAGCGTTGGCCCGATAGTGCCAGCAGTGGAGGGCGGCCAGCAGGGAGCTGGCAAAGTCGGCTACCTGCTCCGCCACCGCCAGGCTCTCCTCCTCCTCCTCCTCCTCCTCCTCGCCTGGGGGCTCTGGCCCAGCCCCCTGCTCGCGGCCTTCATGCCCTGCCAGGTCCTCCAGGGACACCTGAAAGGCCTGTTCTTCCTCCTCCTCCTCCTCCCGGGCAGCCCCTTCAGCCTCCGACTGCAGGCCCCGAGCACAGGGGGGCTGTTCAAAGTCCAGGAGCATGCCAACACTGCCCGCATGCTGTTCAGAGCACAAGGCCCCCTCGTGACAGGCCTCGGGGCAGCCCCCCTCCTCCTGCAGCAGCTGGGGCTGGGGAGGCTTCACAGAGAAAGCCACATCTAGACCCCCCCACCCCGGTCTCCACTAGGCTCCCACGTGAAGCAGGGGGTTCTCGAGGTAGGAAGCTGGGACTGGGGTCTGCTCAGGAACTCAGGATCCAGAGAGGCCTGCCTGCCCCAGGGAGAGGGCAAAATGAGAGGATCCCGGCCGGGCCGGCCACCACCAGGGTGCCACTCCAGGAAAAGGGTACAGAAGGGTCCCCTGGGCAAGGGCCACGGCTTATTCATCTCCGTGACCCTCATGACAGAGCCTGGCGCACAGTAGGTGCTCGACAGGTGTTTGTTGAGTGAAGGAAGATGATGGGGGCTGACCTGGGCTGTCCCCCAAGGCTGTCCCGTGTGCCCCTGGTCTTACCTTCATTCCTGCTGCTCTGACTGCTCCGCCACCACCAGGTCCCGGCACAGCGGCGAGGGGGAGGGGGAGCGGAGATCAGTAACCCGGAGAAAGAGCCCCCTCACAGAGGCCTGAGGCCCAGAGCCCCCGAGCGAGAGCGCGTCAGGGGCTCTGCTCCCAGAACCTTCACCAGGTCTCCCGGGCTTTCAAAGGAATCACTGACAGACCGGGAGCCGGGGGTGCAGAATGGCACGGTCACTCGCTCCTGCTGTCACCCAAGGGCAGAGAGACAGGGTGCAAGGTGTGCAGGGGGAGCCCGGACAGCAAGGGGTGAGGCCCACTTCCAGGGCAGAACGAGGCAGAATCCCCTCTGAACTGTCCGCGATGCCCACACCCTGCTGGTCGCCAGCTTCACCCTCTCACCCCTGCCCTAGAGCGCACCTTAAAGGGGGTGGTGCCTGTCCACCCCTCACTCACTCACCTTTCTCGCTGTGTTGCCTGAGCAGATGTCTGGATGGCTCTGGAGAGGAAAGCGAACGGGCAGTCAGAGCAGGCCTGAGGCAGCCCGGCCTGGCCCTGGTCCCACGCTCACAGCGCCACACACCCATCATCAGCTCAAAGTCCACTCCAGCGGGGCCCCCCACAGCCCGAGGGCCTGAAGGAGGCTGCCCTCGCGACCAGCCCACAGGGAGACAGGGCCCGGGCCACTGCCCCCACCCGCCTGGGGACTCTGCTGTGACCCACAGCCAAGAAGCAGCCCCGCCCCCATCCTTGCGTTAGCACACAGCCCGGGGCCCTCAGCTCCGGGGCCACAGCCCCCTGCTGCCCCCTTCAGAATGACGAGCCTCTCTTGAGGGCCCTGGCTCCACCGCAAGCCCCACCTTCCTTCCCTGCACGGAGCACATCAGCGCCTTAGCTACACCCAACGCCAAGCCCCTTCACAGCACCCCAGCCGGAAAGCAGAGGTCGCACCCGACTTTCTATGGCCCTTAAGGCCTGGCACCGTGAAGCCTCGCTGCCTGCTGGGGAGTGTTGCCCGGTTGTACAGGAGCTGACCAGGCTCTGAGGACAGAATACAAAACACATCCATTAGGCTGATGGTGTCAGCACCTCGCAACCCACCTTTTCTGGGGACAGACCTGAGATAGGGAGGCATGTCTCAAGGAACCTGTCTACAGAACCTTGCCCTTAGCCCATATTGCCCTTGACGAACTGGCATTCAGTGGGAGGCCCACTATAAACTTGGAGCCACAAGGAAGGTCTACTGAGGTCTCTCAGCTGTTCCTGGATAGGAGAGCAAACTGAAGAACCTTTTTTCTAAATGTGCATGGGCACACACATACCTACACTCTATCTGCATCGAGGTAAGTAGATATCCAATTGTTTTTAGAGTGAGAAATACAAAATGCTCTTCTCTTTCATTTTAAAACTTGTAATCAAGAATATTTAATAAGCGGACTTCCCTGGTGGCACAGTGGTTAAGAATCCGCCTGCCAATGTACAGGACACGGGTTCGAGCCCTGGTCCGGGAAGATCTCACATGCCACGGAGCAACTAAGCCCGTGCGCCACAGCTACTGAGCCCACGTGCCTAGAGCCCGTGCTCTGCAACGAGAAGCCATGAAAAGCCCGCGCACCACAACGAAGAGTAGCCCCCGCTCGCCACAACTAGAGAAAGCCCGCGTGCAGCAACAAAGACCCAACGCAGCCAATAAATAAATAAATAAATAAATAAAAGAATATTTAATAAGTGACAAATGATGACAACACCACCTTACTTATCCATATAGTGTACTTATCTGTCCATCCCAGCTCTCTGGAAGTAGGAAGCAGAAAAGGCCCAGAGGCAGTCAGAGTAGATGGCTGAGAGCAGGCCCTAAAGCACTTCCACTGGCCTGTATCCCCCCTCATCCACTCACTGGCCTGCTTTTACACACGCTTCTCGCACATTAAATCGATTAATTTCTAACAGAAGAGGGAAGAAGGAAGGGCTACTAAAGAAACGCATGCCAAGACTGATAAGGAGAACTCTTCAGTGTAAAGATGGACACAACACCTCAATGCCAGCTGTCTCTATGGCAACCCACAGCCCCGCCTCCCCCAAGGCCCCAGAGAATGGAGCTGTTCACACGCCACAAAGATGCTGCTACACCGACTCCAGAAAGGGAAAAGTTTGACCGTGTGGGCCTCCTCTATTTTATAAGGCTCAAGCGTATGAAGCATGGTTTAGAAAGATGTCTGTTTCATAACGATTAAAACTAAAACATGAAAACGAACAAAACCCAACTCTTAGCGTTTACAGGCTAAAATCTCAGCCTTGTGGAAACCTGAGCTCTGAAGCGGATCATTTCCTGAGCGCCCTGCTTGCTGCAGTTTGGAAGCTGATGTTATGACAGGTAATGTTACTATTACCACCATCACCACAGTCCCTTACTGACTACCTCCACGTGTCAGAAGCTTCCAGTTCAAAGCTATGGCGAGTTAAGGGGGAATGTTGGACAGAAGAATTATAGGAGAAGAAAGGAAAGGGGGGAATTCCCTGGCAGTCCAGGGGTTAGGACTCCGTGCTTTCACTGCCAAGGGCCTGGGTTTGATCCCTGGTCGGGGGACTAAGATCCCGCAAGCCCATTTGGGGCTTTTACCACACAGCACCGTAGCACTTCTGCAACCACGGCAAGTTTGCCTAGGGTTCGAGATCCATCAGCAACAATACCAAACAAAACAAAAACACAAAAGCTTTCCAAAGACCACTCAGCTCCACCCTCCAGAAGACCAAAGCCCGTACAGCAATCCACACAGCTGCTCAGAGGACCCGTGAGCCATGCCAATCAAACCCAACTCACCGTGGGGATCCCAGTCAGGACACATCTCCCATCACTCCTGAATCTTCCTCTCTAGGGGTCTCTGAGATGGTCCTCACCCCAACTCCCACCTCATGTGTAAGTTTGACAAGTGCCTGGCCGAAGCCAAATCCATCCCTGGGCCTCGACTGAAGGCGAGGGTAAAAACCGAGGCAGAAAACACACACATGCACCACTACAAGAGCCGAGAATAAAAGCAAGGTTTTCTCGTTTCAAAAGACGAGTCACTCCGATACCTCCAAGTACCCAGCAGCAAGCCGTCATGAAAGAAAACCCAGGAAAGCAGAACTTTTCCCTGAGACCCAAAGTGAATATTTCCTGTCTGGATTTGGCGCCACTTGAAATCTAACTCATTTTCCCCACGTCCTCCCTCTGCTCTGTTCCAGAACTGGGCTGGGGACCATCCATGACGTCTGAGCGTTACTCTGGCTGCCTCCCACTATCTAAGGTTTTGATCGCAGAGGAGCTAAGAAGGGGGGCCTTGGAAAAGGAGGGCTGTCCAGCCCTGGGTAGGCAGGAAGGGCCCAGAGGGGCCTGGTGGAAGGCAGGATGCTACAGACACACCCCATTTACCCTCCTTCCTGCCCTTTCCCAGGATTTCCGGAGGGTGAGAGCCAGCCCCAAATGCTGCTGCAGAAGGTTCCCCACATGGTCAAGGGTCCTGGAAAGAAGCCTCTCTGCCCGCACAGCCCCTGCCTTACCAGACTGCCGGCGCCCCTGGTGCACATGGGTGGACGCCTCATCCTGGGAGGCCTTCTTCAGGCGCTCTGGGCTGTGGCGGTACCGATTGGGATCTGCACCCAAGAGAGACAACCAGGCCTTTGGGATACTATCACCCTTGGCGTGGACTCTGCCCATTCCTGACCACAACTCTGCTGCCCAGCCGAGCTCCAGGGGCCACAAGACTCCAGAGCTCCCCCCTCTTCCATCTTCCGTCCTCTTCCATCCAGGAGCACGAGGCAGAGTCCCAGCCACCAGCAGCACTGAGCCCTAGTCTTGCAGTAGACCCCCAGTCCTGACAGAAGGAGCCTCCCCACCCTCCCTGCTCTCTGGAATGTAAGTATCAGGCAAAGCTTCCTCAGGTCTGACCTAGAGATGTGCACCGTTAGGGACAAGGCAGGCAGAAAGGGTACACTTACAATAGGAATCCATTTCCAGGATGGCTTCTTTGGCCTGGAAGGGAAAGGAAACCCACCGCGTTGCTACCTCGGTACGTGCCGTTTTCTCCCTTGGCCCAAAGACTCACTCTTGCTGCACCAAGGGCCGTGGCATCCGCTGAACTGATCCCCACTGTCCAGTGGGGCCAACGTCCAGAAGGCGAGGCCCCCGTGGACCCCGGAGCTGGTTCTGAGGGACCCTTCTCCCTGTACCCCATCAGAAGCCCTGGGAGCTCACCTTCTGGGGGATGGTGGTGTGGTGGTTCTCCAAGATGAGCCTCTTGATGTGGTGAGTCCAGCTCCGTTTCTCCTCCACAGTTTTGGCCTGGGAGGACCCGAGGGAGAGGGTGCGGGGGTTATCATGACAGGCCTGAAGCCATCCAGCGTGCGCTGGGCTTCTGCCAAGGAGGGCAGAGGCCAAAGAGGGCCTGTGCTGGGGGCTCTGTGAGGTTACCTTGACTCCTCAGCACAAGCCTGAGAGGTGCCCACAACGACCTCTCCCTTGCAGAGGGAGACTCTGAGGCTCGTGCCGCCGCGCGAGGGGGCGGGTTCTGTCCCCAGCCCGCGCCCCAGCCCGCCCCTCACCTGGATGTTGTACTGCTGCTTGCTGTGCTTGTAGTGTGTGACGGTGAAGCACGGGGATTCTCTGGTGCTCTCGATCAGCATCAGGGAGGAGCACTGGGGCAGAGGGAGAGGGCAGTCAAGCACGAGGCGGGGAGCTGACCTGGGGCCCCAGTCCCTCAAGACCATCTGGGGAGGCAGGGAGAGTAATCTTGAAGGGTGGAGCTGCGTCCACACCAACCCGGGGCCCAGTGAAGGCGACACGGAGTGGAGCCCGGCCGTTGGGACGGTGGGAAGGGGGCAGAGGAGATGGCGGTGGCCTCGTTACCGGGATGTGACCCTTGTAGACAAAGTGATCTCCCCGCTTCTTGGTGATGAGCAGTGCTTTGTCAAAGAGGAAAAAGGTCTTCTCGTTGCGTACACGGTGCACGCGGAATGTGCCCTCCAGGACGAGCTCCCCATAGGTGGTCAGGTCTGGCCCCTTCCAGTTGATGAGCAGAGACTGAATCTCCTGCAGCAGCGAATCCCCGACCCCCAGGGTCAGGGTGCTCGAGACCCTGCTGGGAACCACACAGGGCCCCAGGAGCCACCACCTGGTTTCTGCAGAGACGTGCTGCACCAAGGGCTCCCCCCAGAGTAGCCCATCCTCACCGACACCACCCCTCAAGCTCGCATTCCCTCTTCCAAACCCCGCCCCACCCCTGCCTGTCCCTCCAGCTACCGGCCCCAGAGCACCTGGAGCCGGACTGCGTGCTCATGTCTCCTCTTCATGTCGTTGATGTACCAGGCCACGCAAGTCATGGTGTCAATGGCATCCTCTACCACCTCAAAGCCGTCCTCTTCTTCATCAAAATGTTTGGCGATTTCCTGTGTGGGAGACAGGGGCTTAGGCAGCCCAGACTCAAGGGCCCTGCCCCTCCCTCAGGCCCCTGTGGACTCGGGAGGACCCTGGGGTTACCTGGAGTAGCAGGTGGTACTTGAGGATGCGCTGGACTGGCTTTAGGAGGTAGGAGCCCAAGGGCAGCGAGTGCTGCAGCAGCTCCTGCCGGTCCCGAAAAAACTTGGCCTGCTGCTTGTCCTGCATGCACTCGGTGAGGGCGGCCACTGAGCTGGGAGTGGAGGAAGGGGCCGTCACCAGGGGAAGGCCTGCGTGGCGAGGTGGGGTGCTCTGGACTCGCCAAATGGCTCTGCTTCCCCTCTCCACCCTCACTACTCACTTGGGGTAGTTGTTGCAATACTGGGTGTAGATATCAAACTCTTGGCTCTAAAGAAAGACCAAAATTAGTAATTTCAGGGAGACTCCCGTTTGACTATAAACCTGGGTGTATCAAACACATGCCCCTGGCCCCCAGAGCACTCTCCCCGAGCATCTGCAGAGCCATCTCTGTGCCCATCTGTCTCGGACATGCTGTCCACCCAGCAGTCCCTGGCTCCACCCCAAAGGCCCTTCCTATCTGAGGCCGGGCACTCAGCCCTTCCCCTGGAGAGAGGCCCCCAGCAAGAGAGGATGGAGGCAAGGACCCCGCCCTTCTTACCCTTTCCACAAAGCAGCTGGCCACAGCCACCGGGTCACTATTGCAGCTGTCCAGGTCTCTGAGTAGCTGGCTGGGTAAGGGGAGAATGGTCATCAGACACCGGACCGCTCGCAGCCTCCAGTCACCACTACACCCCCTCCCCACCCTCCTGGTGCCCACACACACGCCAGCCCTGGTGTCAGCGAGCCCTGCCCGGGGCAGCCAACACAGAAAGTATCCAGCACCACTGCAAAGGTGGGGGACAAAAAAGAGCCATGCGTTCCACAAGCAGGAGAGGGAGAAGGGACACCAGTACCCACCTCGGGAGGGGACACAGCTCCTCTGCAGGCAGGGGTCAAACACACAAAAGCAGACATTAAAGGGGGAAGGAGAGAGGGGGAACTCGCAAAGAAACCAAGGCCCCCAGTTCAGAAGGATGAAGGAAAGGGGAGAGACAGGGTGAGTCTCCCAGCACTGCTTGTTCTTAAATGGGGGCTCTAGAGGAAACCCCAGTGCTCCCCCTGCCTTCCCCTCCTGTGCTCCTCTTTGCCCCCCCCCCCCCCCCCCCACCCCCCGCCTAAGTCTCACGTCCGTCTGCCCTCCCAGCTTGACCAGCACGAAGTCCCTCTGCCCATCTTAAGGCGCCTGGGGTAAGGTTCCTCCTGTCCTATCAATACTGTCCCCACAAGTTCTCCTCCTCCGGACCAGTGCCCTCTCTCTGGGGAGTCTGGGGGCGCCGGGAGCCACTCATGTGTGATCTTCGTGGAGCCCCTTTGCCCTGAAGCAGCCCCTCGCCAGGCCTCGCTCGGACTCCCTCATCACGCTTTGCCTGGCTTGTGTGTTCCCCTAATGGGTCAGATCACCTCCAGGGAGCCCCGACTTCCCACGGAATCAGTGGGAAGGTGGAGGAGAAACGAAGAGATCTGCACTGGGGGACCAAGATGAGAGGGACAAAGGGGCCACGAAGGGACGGGGAGAGGGCATCACGTGCAAGGTTCAGCAGTCCCCTGAGGGGCGCTGGCCCAGGCTGGACCCAACATGAACACGGCCTCAAATGAGCACATCAGCCCCAGGGCACACGGTCCCACAGGCCCCCTCTCCTGCAGGGAGCTAACTATACCACTGTACTGGGATGGACCACCCTTCCCCACCCTCAGAGATCAGACCCTGGCCCACGTGTCACAGCCCACGAGACCAGGGACATCCGGGGCTCCTCCCTAGGCCCTGAGATGGGCCTCACAGGCAGAACATGGTGCATGTCAGGCCCGCTCCATACCTGTTCAGTGCGTAGATGCTTTCTATGTTCCCAAAAAGGGCACTGACTTGCTCCGGGTTCAGCAGCCCAGGCGTGTCAATGATCTTCAAGAGGTAGTCCTGCGTGGAGTGAGGCGTCAGGGCCCAGCCTCCCAGGCACAATCCTGTCCCTTCCCGTCTTCCCTCTTCTCCCCCAGCCACACCTCATTTCTGTACTGCATGTTACAGCTAGGACACAATTTCACAGACATCACCTACTGTACTGGGTTGGATAATTCCCCCTCAAAATTAATATCCACTTGGAACCTCAGAATGTGGCCTTATTTGGAAATAGGGTCTTTGCAGATGTAACGATTAAGGACCTTGAGATGATACCATACTGGATTTAGGGTGGGCCCTAAATTCAGTGACTGGTGTCCTTATAAGAGAACACAGAGAGACACAGAGAAGGCCACGTGAAGACGGAGGTGGAAACGGGGGTGATAAATCTGCAGGTCAAGGAACACCAAGGGTTGCCAGCAACCTCCGGGAGCTAGGAGAGCCCTGGAACGCACCCCCCCCCAGAGCTTCCGGAAGGAACCAACCCTGCCAGCATCTTGATTTTTGACTTCTGGCCTCATAAACCAGGACAGGATAAACTAATGCGCCTTAAGCCACAGTTTGTGGTTGTCTGCTAGGCAGGCCTAGGAAATGAATACACCTCCCTCCGCAGGGCAGAGAGCTCCCTCCCACGGTCACCTCGCCCAGTGCGCCTCCCAGTGTGAAGCACACGTACATGGCCCTGCATCTTCAATTTATGGATGAGGGACCTGAGGCTGGGCGCTGTGGGGGTGGTTTACGCAGGTGCCCAAGACCCCGTAAGCAGGAAACAACAGGGCAGGAATCTGGGCGCGGGCCAGGTGGGGTCCAGAGCCAGTTTCTTCACTGCGGTTCAGTCTCCGCTAAGCACAGTTGTCCCCGCTCCCTATCAGGGGTGCCTACGCCCCGAGCATCTGCGGGAAGTTCTGCTGGCCCAAGCTACTGATCGGACCCCAAGTCATAAGGCAGCGTGAGCAGCCAGTGGCTTCCCGGGGCCAGAGCCGTGAGGCCTCCCCACTACTCCATGGGAAGCACCTCCTGGAGACAAACATGTCAGGGACAACTTTCCTTCCCTGGGTGGAAGTACGTTTATGCGCGAGAGCTGGGCCACCCGAAGCCAGAGGCCAGCCCCAGCCCCAGAGGAGAGGGTGGTCCCCTCCCAACCTTAGCTCCGAAGCCCCGCGGGGGGCGAGGGGTGAGCCTCACCTCTACGATGCTGCGCAGGTCCTGCACGTACGTGCGCTCCGTTTCCACGATTTCCCGCACTACTCGACCCACGTAGCTGAGCTTGTGCGCAGGCGCTACCGACGCCCGGCTGTTGAAAGGGGACAGGGGGCCCCTCATGCTCAGCCAGCTGCTGGAATTGTTGCTGGGGAGACGCCGGCCGCCCGGGGAGCCGGCCCCGTTCTTGGCCGAAGCCTCGGAGCCGCTGGGCTCCTCCATGGCCCCGCGGCTGTCACGGGAGGAGCCTGACGAGGAGGTGGTGGAGGTCAGGCTCACGGGCCGCTCCTGGCTGCCATCTTGGTGGAGCGAGGCAGAGACGGGCATCCTTGCATTGCTGCCTGGTGGGGGCGCTCCAGGGAGGTTCTGGGCGGGACAGACAAAGGGCAAACCTCTGGAATCCTTGCAGAAACAGAAAGTAAAAGGGTGGCTGCCAGGGGCTGGGGGAGGAGGGAATGGGGAGTTAGTGTTCAATGGATACAGAGTTTCAGTTTTGCAAGATAAAGTTCTACGGATGGCTGGAGGCGAAGGATGCACAACAATGGGAATGTACTTAAGACCTCTGAACACTTAAAAATGAGAATTTTATGCTATGTGTATTTTACCACAATTATAAAAGCAACAGCTCGGAATCTCAAGGAGGCCCCTGCCTTCAGACTGTATGAGCATCTGCAAGGATGCCCAAGTGACATTCCTGCCTGACTGCAACCGCTCCACCTCCGTCTTTCCCACGGTGGACCCCATCCAGTAACAATAAAGGGCTCAGAAAGCTGAGGCCCCAGAAAAGCAGAGAGGGCATCTCTGCCAGAGCAACGGTCCGGGGTGCCTTGTGATGGAATCCGAAGCCCAGTGCCTCTGCTCCAGCAAAGTACCGAGCTTCCCAGAGCCTCAGCTTCGGCCGTGCCCCCGAAGATGCAGTGACCTGCTGGATGTACAGCTCTGAGCCTGATGCCCAGCACAGAGCAACGGCTCCATAAACCATCAAAACAGTGTCAAAAAGCACTTCCCGGGGCTTCCCTGGTGGCGCAGTGGTTGAGAGTCCGCTTGCCGATGCAAGGGACATGGGTTCGTGCCCCGGTCCAGGAAGATCCCACATGCTGCAGAGCGGCTGGGCCCATAAGCCATGGCAGCTGAGCCTGCGCATCCGGAGCCTGTGCTCCGCAACGGGAGAGGCCACAACAGTGAGAGGCCCGCATACCGAAGGAAAAAAAAAAAAAGCACTTCCCAAGTGTCCACCTGTCAAGGATCCGGCTCTTAACAATCGACGTGCCAGAGGGTAAGATGCTCCCCAGGATGGCAGAATCTCTGGGGCCACCAGGGGCTTCACCATGAACCTGAAACCTTCTGGATACCCACGGAGAAGGCAGAGGAGATGATACAAAGGCTGAACCCACATTACCCCCCCTACCCCCAGCTCCAGCCCCCTGTACAGGTCCCTGACTCACCCTGGCTCCAGGGGCACAGGAAATTCCCCAGGGCTGAGCCACCGGTGAGTCTCCCTAAGTTCCCTTCAGCACAGCTAGATCTAGATCAGGGCAGCACAGCAAGCAGGAAACTGTTCCCAGGTGAGGCAAACATAGCCTCAGGTGGACTTTATTCCCTAAGCAGATGGTGTGGCTCACAGGCAGGCCAGCCTGGAGCAGCAAGTCTGTGAAGGTGGGGTGGTGGCTGTGGGCTTTGGGAAGGTCAAGGACACTCCAGCCCCATCCCAGAGCACCAGAGCTCACCAACACCACTTTCCAGAATGTTCACTTGATTGCTGTTTCCATAGGAAAAATGTTCTAGAGCGTCCCTCTCACCTCTACTGCCCCAAAGACTTCCACCTCTAGTTCTAAGGATCAGAAGCTACTAGATCACAGGCTAGAGCTATGAGGAGAAGGGTCTAGAAGGTACCATCACTCTGGCAGCCTTGAATTTGCCCCCTGGTTTTCTGTGCCTGTGCCCCAACCTGGAACCAGTGTCCCTACCTGTGCCAGCGCCCTTGGGCTCTGGCTTTGGCAAATGTTCTCTCTGCCTGGCCATTACTCCCTCCGCATCCACCCCACGCCATACGGCCCCCCAACCTGTGTCACTTATACCAACCCTTGGGTCTCAGAAGCCACTCCCCATACATCCCCAGAAACCAAACCTGGGGGCCCCTTCTACGTACTCTTACAGCACCCCAGGGGTACCCCTATTGTAGCACTCTCTGTGTGAAACCCCCTGCCCTAGGCTGTAAGTGACCTAAGGGCAGGGGCCTTAAAAGGTGATCTGGCAAGCGGATAATGTGCTACTACTGAGCTAAGATCAGGAGCACTGAGACCTGTTTGCCTGCACGCTAGCCCAGCAAGGACCCTCTCAAGCACAGCAATTTCTCACTGCATGTCTCAGCTGGAGGACGGGGTCACCTCCGAGGTGCTCTATGTGAGCCTCTCATTTTGCAGATGAAGACACAGTGGCAGCACTGGGGCCAGTCCAGAGTTCTCCCTCCCTCCAGGTGCAATGAAAGGATTAATTAACAGGATCATCTTGGTGAAACTGAGCATCTCAGAGGAGAGCCCCTTGGGAAATGCAGCACCACTGCTTTTTCCTACCTCCTCAAAAGAGCCTTTAAGATTAACCAGCTAGTCATTTCTACCCACCTGTGGCGTGTCATTTCAGCACAAAGAGAGACAAAGACCCAAACTCCGCCCCAGCCGTTAACCCCAGCCCTGTGGGACTCTGGTGTCCTTCAAGGCACGTGCACTGTCAGGCACACCGCAGCCCCTCCACCCCTTCTCCCCCTCAGCCCCCCAGGCCTGTCAATCCCAACTAGAACAATGGGGTAGGGACTTACGACCTAAAACCTTTCCCAGATCAAACCTGGGATCAGTCAGCCCCTATGGGGATGCTAAACGGAAAAGGCCCAAGTCCCTAATGGATTTCACAGCTGGTCAGGTCATGGCCTTAAAGTGAAGGATTAGTCACAGCCACACACCCCCCCCACACACACACACTCTCAGGGAGATTTATCTCTAAAGGGTACCTTCTGAGGGTCACTCTTTAGGGGTGCAACATAAGCACACTTCAAAAGCCCAGGAACTAAAACATCTTTTCTATTCGGAGAAATTTTCTCTGGTTGCACACAGACATCTGCCTGCAAACCAAGATCATGTTTTCAAAGTAGTGCCCATGCCCAAATCCTCCTGGGGTTAAAAGAAAGCATAATGACTAACAGCTAAAAATGTTCCAAGTGCTGTAGACATAACAAGACCTTTTTATCTCATAACATTTCTATGAGGTCAGTACTATTATTATCCCCATTTTACAGATGCAGAAACTGAGGCCACAGAAGTAGCATGCGGTAGAGCCTGGATTTGGACTCAGGCACTCAGGCTTCAGTGTGCATGCTCTCCTGCCCCTGCCCGCTGCTGGCTGCCTCCCTGATGGATTTCACAGCAGCTAGAACCGCAGCAAACGATTAGTCACAGCCCTGGATGCCATGGCTTTGCCTCAGCATAAGCCACGGGGGACATATTAAGACATAAAAGTCAGGGCTTTTAACGTGACATTTCACTTATCCCACAAAGGCCAATGGAGGTTAAAAAAAAGAGAGAGAGAGAGAGAGAGCCTTAAATAGCCTTAAGATTCCTTAAGGCTATTTCTAGACCTCCTACTATGTGACATTTGCCCATTTACCCTTTCCTTGGAACAACGTAGAAAAATACAGATTCCAGGTCAAAGGACTACAGGTCATGGAGAGGGGAAGAAGCACGAGGGCATAGGGATCGGACTGTAACTGCTCGGATGACAAGAGAAGCCCTACAGTGACCAGGAGACCTAGGATCATGAGGCGCTCTCTCTCTCCCCGCCCCTCTCTCTCGCTCTCTATCGCTCTCGCTCTCGCTGGAAAAGAACACAGAGACCCAGAAAGGGAGGGATGAACAGCAAATGGGGCAGTGAGAGCAGACACGGCAGAGTCCAAGTGGGACTGTTAGCAGACACCATTAGACAGAGAGGGAAAAGGGACATCACACCTAATGTGAGTGCACTCTGGTCCTAAAAGCCCAATCCAACCATTACTGTGTGTGTAGTTCAGGCTCCCAGAGACGGCGGAAGCACCGGCCCACGTGTTCCTGGGCGGAGGCAATCTTTCCTTCCTCTCCACGGAGCATCACCCCATATGGTAAGATTCACCCCAAAGACAAGATTAGAACTCAGGTCTTCAAACTCATCTTGGAAGACACTGTCCGCTGGGGCAGTGCGCGCCGAGAGAAAGTTAACAGACAGCAGTCAGATGTCCACGCCCACCCCGTTCCGTCACACTAGTCTCCAGTTCCCTAAGTATCGCTCCGCAGTGACCTCTTCCATCTTTCAACACAAATCAATCCAGTCAATCATCAGTCAGTGAGTCAGTCTTCTAGAAAACTCTGTATCTCCCACACCTGGGAAGCTCTCTTTGATAGGGTCCTGTAGGACCTTTCTGATAAGCTGCTTTCTGATAAGACCTTCCCAATAAGCTGCTCAAACACGCACCTTTAAGGGTTGGGGCACAGGAGAGGGAGATCAGTTTCCTTTTTTTTTTCTTTAATAACTTTTTCTAAGTTTAATCCACACCCTTCCTCCACCCACACCTCTCCAGGTTATTGGCTCCACCAACGGGGACCTTCCCTGAACATCCCCGGGCAGGAACGCAAGCAGGCTGCAGCAGGCCCCTTGGATTCCCAGCACAGCTGACAGGGGCCAAGTCCCACATCCTCCTCCGCCCCGCAAGGCCTCAGCACCGTGCCCCCAATCTGACCTAGCCTCCTGCCTCCAACAGAAAAAAATGACGATCCAAACCCCACCATAGCCCCCATGTTCCGTCTTCAAGCCTCTTGTCACTAAGGCTGTAGGACCCTGCTCCCTGAGCCCACCCCCAGCTTCAGAAAGAACGGTCCCAGAGGGGAACTCACCTGGAACCTTCCGGAGACCTCTGCTTCTCTGGTCCTAGGGAGTCCCCAGGGCTCAGCAACACTCCCTTCCGGCCCTCTTTTGGGGGCTACTGGGCTGAGAAGGCAGGAGACCGGGAGGAGGCTGTGCAGGCTGGCGCCCTGGAGACGCCCCAGAAAACATTTTGGTTCGGAGAGGCTGGGTCCAGGTGCGGAGGCGGCTGACGTCATCCTTTCACCTACCCCGCTTTGCCCCATACCCAAGAGGCGGAGCGCCACACCTGCTCTGGAGGTGGGCGGGGACTGAGAGAGGGGTCTCCCCCAAAGGCAGCTGCTCCAAAGTCCAGGGAATCACCAGGTACCGGCAAGCGGGCCAAGTCCTTCCCTGCTCGGGGGGCTGCACGCTGCGCGGCCCTCCTTCCTGACCTTCTTTCATCTCCCAACTACCGACACCTGCTAGATATTCCAAAGGCTCTC